TTTTAATTGATAAAGGTTTGGGAAATTTTTTTAATTAAAAAAAATATTTTTAATTTTTTAGCAACAACTTTACAATTAGTAGAGATGAAGGATGCACCTGATAAACCGGAATCTTTGCTGAGAACAGATTTGTTAGAATAGGAGATGTTTAAATTATGATTATTTTTGATTATTAATAACTTAATTTTAAAAAATCTAATTTTGTTTTTAATTTATTTAATGCTTTTTAAATAATGTACGACTTAAATAAAATGTTATATACTTATTGTTAAACAAGCTTGTGAAAGTTGTGGTTAGGGGCTAGGCAAAGTATTTTTACATTTTTTGTTAATAAAGTGGTATCTGTTTTGAGTTTAGTTGATTGGTGTTTAATGGTAGGGACACCTATTTAATTTCAAAAATGGATAATCATAAACGATAGGGAATAAGGATTCTGCTAAGCTGTAGATTGGTGTAACCCAACAAGTTTGATGAAGACAATTTGCGAACGTAAAGTGTTAAAGAGCTAATTGTAAGAGATTGGATGGATATAAGACAATAATTCGGAAACGGAATTTACTATAGGTTAGTCATTGGGATGAGTAGAAAAAAAGCGATAAGGTGAATAATATTCGAAGCCAAACTAATCCTAGCAAAAGCACAAAAAATTGTTTAGCATTTTTATTTATATCCAATAAGATTAAAAAACAATACGCGTAATTTTAGGAAGTAATTGCGCATTAAAGTCATATAAGGCATATTTTTGGACAGACACATAAGGAATATTAAGATTAGAGATCGGATCGAGACGAGGTCTTGAAGAAAAATATAGGTTATCAAGATCGATATTTTTCGAGATATATCGATCTTGATTCTTTACGACACTCCCAGTCCGGTCTCCAATTAATTTTGTCCACGATATAATTTTAAACCCGAAGTTTTTAACAAAAGCGTATCCAACTAAATATAAGAACCAGGTGGCCAGTTAAATAAAAATAATCGTGGACAAAAAAACTAATCAAACAAATACTACAATAAATTTATATTTATGGGGAACCTTGAAGAAATGTAGTGTCATGTACCTGATTTAATTTATTTTCTTCCTTCTCATCATTTGGGTCAATATTTAACAATGCCTGCAATTCCTTAAAGAACGATATTTTTAAATTGCAAATAAATTTTTAAACAAGAACCTTCTTCTCATATTCAAGTTTGGTATTGTCCACTCCCTTTTGAATTGTCAAATCAATCAAATTGCGAAGAATATAGAGCATTTCTTGAGGGATAGCATATTGACGAGAGAATTGGAACATTAAAGAATCTAGATCCTTTACACCATCATTAGCACACGGAAATGCCAAAACAGACATGCGACGCGAAGTAGAAGGCTCAAGACAAATCTGAAAAAACGAAAGATTTTAAGCCATAAGGCCATAAAGAACTATGCAAGAAAAAAATTCTTTAAAAAATTCAAAAACAAACCTGCTCATCAGTCAAATCCACAATTGTATTTTGTATATTTACAATTTCTTGCTGCACATAATCAAGTTTTTGCTGAGTACTTTCCAGTTGTTCTAATACTAAAGTACGAGTGGAAGGATCTGTTATCGAAGAAAAATTGGTCTGAAGACGTGACAGTTCATCCTGAAGTTTTCGACGTTCATGACACTGTCGATCCATAGCCTTCTCTTCACGTTCAATTGCATTCTTTTTGACAGTAAAGCCCTCAATCTTAGAAAATTTTTTAAAAATAATTTTTGGAAAATTTATTAACCGCTCGTTCAATAGCATTCCATTGGCGTTTTGTACGAACTGGAGTCTGCTTATATTTTGGAGTTTTGGCAAAATTTGTAGGAGTATGGAAAGCCTTCTCTTTCTTCACATCCTCCTCCTAATATAAATTTTTAAATAAGAATCTTAAAATAAATTTACCTGAATAATATATGTTGTATCCAAATCAGGAATTGGTGGTAGACGAACCTCAGGAAGAGTCTCTAACTTAATTCCACGCCTAACTTCATAAATGGTCTGACGACGAGTTTTGACAGCCTAATAAAGAAAACGGTTAAAACATTTTCCAAAATAAAAATGTAAAAACCTTTTGAGAATCCTTCAGTTTCTGAACTTCCTCCACCTTTCGTCTTAAAGTTTCAGATTTAAGTGCTGATTCCCTTTCAAGCTTTTGTATTTTATTTTGTTGTTGTCTTTGAGTTTTTTCATATGTGGCCACTTTTTGATTATTTTCAGCTTGAATTACACGAATTCTTTTATTTTCTTCTTTTAATTTTTTCATTACTTCAACTTTTTGTCGCTTTATATTTTCCAAGTCGTTTCTCATTCGAACAAGTTCCATATGACGTTTATTTTCTTGTGCTTGCATCTTTTTATTATCACGCTCGGCCAATTCAATTCTTTTATGTTCGAGTCGCATATCAGAAAGACGCCTCTCATATTCGCTTTTAACTTTATCAATCTCCTCTTTCAGTTGTTTGGTCTGTTTCTTCGCCGTCATCTGTTCAAGAACTTTGTCACGTTCCGCCTCTGTAGACTGAATCTTCTTGCAAAGTTCTTCCATCTTTTGTTCATAATCCCTCCGCTGTTCCTCCAAACGACGTTGACTCGCTTCTAGCTCGGCTACAAGGCGTTCTTTGACGCCAATGTCTTCGTAAATTTTAGCCAAATCAGAGTGAATTTGATCAATACGCTCTTTTAAAGAAGGGTTAGAACATTTCAATTTCAGAAAAATATACCTAAACTTTGTTTTTCTGCCGGATCAGCCTCCTCATCCTCTTCATCATCATCGTCACTATTCTCTTCTTCGCGAATCTCATCCAAAACGTTTTCTTTTTCATCGAATTGGTTAAGACCTGGAAAATTGGTTAAATCCTATATTAAAACTTTTTTCGCTTACATTTAGCTTCAGCCTCATTCAACGCCTTTTTTTCCATTTCAATTTCTTCCTTCGCCTGATTTATTAAACTTTCGGTAGGATTAGATGATTCTTGTTGATGAACATAAGGAGAGCCATACAAAAGCTTATCTGCATATTGGTCATTAATCAAAGCTTCCCCGTCTCCATTTAATAAGCGCTTGCCCTGTTGATATTCCAATAGTTGAGATTCAAGAGAGGCGACACGATCACGGAGCTCCGTTATTACTTTAAAAGACTTGTTTGATTGATATTCCAATAATTGAGATTCAAGAATAGCAATACGAGTACGGAGCTCCGTTATTAATTTGGAAGACTTGTCTTGATTAACCACAATCTAAAGAAACAAATTTTCAACAAAAAATTAAGCAAAAAACAGCAGACCTTGTTTTTGATGTTTTTGGCCCGATTCGCATAATTTAATGTATTAAGCGTTTCAATAAAATCAACGTCACAAGGACTGGCACATGCAATCATTAACGTTCGACTGTTTCCACCAAGCGAGTCTTGCAACAAACGAGTAAGTTTAGAATCACGGTAAGGAACATGAGTAACTTTTCCACTACCCAAAGCAGAGATTACGTTCCCGAGAGCAAGCTAGAAAAAATTAATTTAAAACTCAAGGTTTCGAAAAAATACCAGTCCAGAATTGATGCTGATTCCTTCCTTAGCACGGTCACCAGTCGCACCAGTTCTCTTTAATCGCTCAGAACCAGCCAAGTCGACAAAATGGAATTTCGCATGTAAAACTTCTAGTTCTGTTGTTTGTTGTTTAGGCGAATCATCCTTAATATAAAATGAATTTTTATTTACTCCGAAAACTTGGATATAAAATTCAAAGTTAAAGAATTAAAAAATCCTTACCTCATTTTCTTCTATTGGCACAACTCGACTCTGCTTAATTCTAATAGTGAAGATTGCATGTGAGCGACTTGACTGTTGATTCATATTTGTCGCAGCAGTAGTTCTATTCAAAGACCCAGCTTTTAATGCAGTCATTACATCCAATGCACTCTTTACAGATTTCCAAGTAGCACCTTTGAGACCAATTTCATTTCGAATATGATCCTCTTGAATTCTGATTGTGTTGCGAGAACGACCATCAGACAGTAAATCAATTATTTCTTCATTATAAAGCTTAAAATTTAAATTTTTTATTAAATCTTCTTAAAGCTTAAAAACCTCAATAAATTGGACATTTAATTCGAAAGTTGGCTCAACAACACCATTTGTCTTGGCAGCAAGTTTTCTCTCCTCCATTCCCTCAAAAAGATGCCTAGCTGCTCGCGGGATGATTCCGGCAGTAATGTTTGTGTCCAAATTGAATTGATTCACATCAAAAGAAGTCCCCATCGTGTAAGTTTTACCACTTCCAGTCTAAAATTAAAAAAGTTATTTTTCCTTTCACACTCCAAGTCTAAATTTTATCAGCAAGTGATGCTAATTACTTGCCATAAATGAAAATAACAATTAAGCCGAAAACTCAAAAGTATTGACTACACTATAAAATATCAAAATAACCTGTCCATAAGCCAAAACAGTCGCATTATAACCATCAAAAGCGCCAGCTAGTAAATTATGAATACATTTATTGTAAACACCTTCTTGGGTTGACTGGTCAGAGAAAACGAAATCTTAAAAAATTATTTAGCAAATAAAAAGATTAAAAATTATAATACCATAAGTGAAGGATTTATCCCGTCCAATTGTGATTTGTGGTTCGTCTTGAGAAATAAATACACAAATCTTCTCTTTTGCAGCCATTTCCCTTGTATTTTGAGGTCGAATTCTAAATTAAAATTTAGAAAATAAAAATTTAATTACAATACCTCACTGCAACAGCAACATTGTTTTTCATATCGCGGCATTTATGCCGTTGCTCATCCTCACTTGAAGCCATAAATTTTAATATAATAAAAAATTTTGTCTTTTCTAAATTTATAAAAGCATTAAAATGCACAAATAAAAAATATTAATTTAAACAACACTAAAAAAACTCACAACCTAAGAAATACCTATTCTCTGCAAAAAGAAAGGCGAAAAAATGGGCTTTTATAGTAAATTTGAACGTTTAAATAGTAAAAATTTTAATAAAAATGGAAAATTTGGCATTATGTTATTTTGGAAAAATTCAAACTTTTTCACTTGATCTAATTTCATTTTTAATAAACTTCTTTAAGGGGAATGGTCTGATTTTACGTAAAGTGTATGGGGTTTTTTATTTTATTTTGACTATCATTTTATTTTTTCTAGTTGAAGAAATGTATATTATTCCTATTCTATCCAAAAGATTTACAACAACAACTTCTTTATTTAGTCAAAAATGTAGATCGCTAAGTTTGAGTTCTCAATTAAATGCCGCTTTGACCGTTCGAGACGCTTTAAATCAAGCAATGGATGAAGAATTGCAAAGAGATGACAGAGTGTTTTTGTTAGGGGAAGAAGTTGCTGAATATGATGGGGCTTACAAAGTAATTTTTTATTTTATTTATTTAAAAAAGAGATCACTCATTGTCAGAGGTATCATAATCGCAATAAGAAAAAAAATTTATATTGAACGTAGATTTAGAAAAACGAAAACAGAACGGCGTTATTTAAAGAAATATTCTAAAATTCATTCTTCGAAAAAAGAAAAATTTAGTTTAATAGTTGGAACTCGATTTTACTTACGCCCTTAGGGACTGCAAAAGTTGCGTAAAAATAAGATTTATGGGTGTATCTCTTAAGTAGCTTTCCTTGCCCAACCTGACAAATTAACTAATAATATACTTTAGTTCAGGGTGTACACATTTTGGATGTACGTAAAGTTAAAGTCCTGTATTTGAGAAGGAATGAAATTCTAGGAGATTTTTTAAAAATGTTTTTATAATTCAATTTGAAAATTTTTTTCTTAAATATTTAAGGTAAGTAAAGGCCTTTGGAAAAAATATGGGGATAAACGGATTGTTGATACTCCGATTACTGAACAAGGATTTGCTGGTATAGCTGTCGGTGCTGCTTTTGCCGGTCTGAGACCAATTTGTGAATTTATGACTTTTAATTTTGCAATGCAAGCAATCGATCAATTAATTAATAGTGCTGGAAAAACTTTTTATATGTCTGCTGGACGGGTATTTTTTTATTTAAAAAACATGAGAGATTCTTCAAAAATAATTTAAAAAATTTCCTAAAATTATTTTTTAGGTTCCCGTTCCTATTGTCTTTCGAGGGCCAAATGGGGCCGCTGCCGGTGTTGCTGCTCAACGTTTTTTTTATTTTTTCTTTAGAAACGAAAAAATTTTCTTTTTAGATAGTCAAGACTATGCTGCTTGGTATGCCCACTGTCCTGGTCTCAAAGTAATTTCGCCATATTCCTCTGAAGATTATAAGGGTATTTTTTTAATTATTTGATTATTTTAAAATTTTTTTAAATTTAAAGGTTTGTTGAAGGCGGCGATTCGAGATGATAATCCTGGTATTTTTTACTTCAAAATTCACAATTTATTAAAAAAAATATTTATTTTTAAAGTTATTTTCCTGGAAAATGAATTACTTTATGGAACATCTTTCCCCGTAAAAGATGAAGTACTTGACCCAGATTTTGTTTTGCCAATTGGAAAAGCTAAAATTGAAATTGTTGGAGAACATTGTACTTTAGTCTCGCATTCTAAAGGTGTTCAAAATTGTTTGGAAGCAGCTGAGAAATTAAAACCTTTGGGGGTTAACGTTGAGGTTAATTTTTGAATACATTATTAAGCATTGAAAAGTCTAAAGGGGTTTCATTTCTCCCAAAAAATTTTAAAAATCCAAAAACTTAGGTAAGGGATGTGTATTTTCTTCAAATAATTTTTTGGGTAACTAATAATAAGCTAGCTACCCCACAGAACCTCTTTTTTGAGTTAATCAACTTATTAAAATGCCCTAGACAAAATTAGAAATAGTTGGGGATTTTTATACTCTTTGAAAACTTAAAAAACTTGTTTAAGGTGATCAATTTGCGAACTCTCCGACCTCTTGACTTTGACACAATTCGTGATTCTGTTAAAAAAACAAATCATCTGGTAACATTTGAGACTGGTTGGCCTTTTTGTGGTATTGGAGCTGAAATTTCTGCACAAATTTCTGAATCTGATGCTTTTGATTATTTAGATTCTCCAGTTTTGAGAGTTACAGGTTTTTTTGAAATTTTTAAACTTAAAAAAGTCAAAAAAAGGTGTGGATGTTCCAATGCCCTATGAAGCTAAATTAGAAGAAGCAGCACTTCCATCGACTGATGATTTGGTTAGAACAGTGAAAAAGAGTTTAAATATAGCTTGAGAGACTTATTTTTACACAAAAGGTTTATATAATTGTTTTTTGTTTGTTATTCTTAGAGTTCATAAAGGAGAGAAATAAAGGGGAAAGCATGAGCGATCCAAGGATAGGATTCTATGAGCTAAAATAAGGTGTTCACACACCTTGGGGGAAGGTAAGAATTAGCAAAGCCAAAGGGACTGAAATGAGTTTAGTTGTTTTCTCTTCCTTTTCTCTCTTTTAATTTCATTTTTATGTAGTTAGAAGTTGACTGAAAAGATGCCCGGTTATTCATAAATAGAACAAATTTTTCTATTATGAAAGAGGACGCCCCCTAGTTCGAATTCATTAAATTTGACCGGAATCCAAAAACTATTTAGGGTTAGTTGTCATTCTTTAACGGATAAATTGTGAACATGGATAGGATCCCTCTAAACATGACCACCCTTCTGTGTCGCAAAAAATCTCCCAAAGATATATAAACATATATGTTACACACTTAAATTTGTTTGTTTTTGTCGTTCAATTCTAATTAGGAAAAAAATAAAAGATTTTTAGATGTGAAATTTTTTCTTTGAAAATTGAATCCAATTTTAATTTTAATAAAAAAATTACATAAAAAGGGAAGAGTATATTTTAAAAATAAGAGAAAATGCCAAAAAAAAAGAGTAGCAACCTTAAAAACAGGCAAAGAAGAAAAATACAAGAGGCATAATTTTAGTGTAAAAACAAACAAAAATAATAATGATTTTAAGGTACTATTGCCGCCCTTACAAAACCCTCCTTTAACAGATATCATTTGTGTATTTCGACCAATTACTTAAAAATTAATTTTGGTCTTTTGAAGTAATGGTTTGACTCAAACAAAAAAACAAAGGGTAAAGACGACAATAATACCAAAATTAATTTCATATGAATGCAAAAACTATCCAATAACCGGATTCTATACAAAAAGATATTTTCTTAAGTAGATATGTATGTTTTTATGGTTTTTAATATTTTTTACAAGGTATGAGGAATTCTCTCGTAATAGGAATTCCCAATTAAAATTATTGGAAGAAGAGTAAAAATAAACTTTAAAAAATAACCAAGAAATCCCGGTAAAAGTTTAGTTTTCACAGTTCTTTTATTTTTCTTTGCAGGGATTGAGTTACTTTGGCTTGACCATTATGAACCTTTTGAAGGATTTATTTTTAAATTATTGGGGAAAATTAAGATGGGACAAACTAAACTTGTACCAAAAACCCCTCCCCCACAAACAAAATTAAATCCCTAACTAAAAAACAATAAATAGCAATACATATTTGATGAGCATTTTTTGAGAGTAATTAAATCCTTCAAGTATTTCTTTTTTTGTTATATACCTTCTTATTGTGATAAAGTAGACGATGAATTTAAGTTAGGACATGAATTTTCTGAAATTGACAAAATTATTAATAAAAATTGGATGGTAAACAACAAAATCCCCCTTTTTCCTTAATTCTAAAATTCTTTTGCAAAGAAACTTCGAAAATTTAAAAATATTTGAAAATTAAAAGAAGAAAATTCCCTCGAAAATCAAAATTTCAAAACAAATTCTATCCCCTTCCCAATTAAATTCCAAAATCAATTTTTAGCTTATTAAATTAAAAAAACAAAAATCAGACCCCAAAACTCCAAAAAAAATAGAATAAAAAATTAACCTTCATTTTCCTCCTCATTGTTTTTACAACAAGATTCTTCCTCACCAAAAAGTAATGGACATGTAGCCATTTCTAAATTTGAAGGCCTTAATTCACTCATTAATATTTCTTCTTTAATTCTTTTTTCTTTTAATTTTTTGTGTGGAGATTCTCCATTTTCTGCTAATATATCTTCTCTAGTTGATGAAATTGAGGGAATTATTGTTGTAGATTCTTGTTGCTGTCCTTCTTTTGTTGGTGTTCGTTTTCTACGTATTCTTTGAAGTAAAGAACGGAAAATGCTGCCAGGAAGTATTTGGTGTTCACAAATTAAATTGTTTACCTAAAAAAATTTTTTCCCTTTGAGAATCAGATTTTATAAAGGTCTGGTTTTCCTCCATAAATTGGGCAAAGTCGAAGACATATATATTTTCTAGACAGGAATTATAAGACTATCAAAGTTTTTTGAAGAATTCGGACTAAAAAAGACAGAAAAGATACTTATTCTATCTGCATTAATGAAAGGAGAGCTTGAAAGGAAATTAAAATTGAAAGGACACAACATCCCAACTAGAATGAAAGTCTCCTACAATAGGGTTGTCAGTTATTTGAAAAAAATCTTCGGATATGTGAAACCGAACCGTAAAACCCTTTTTAGGCTGGGAATCGAAATAACCCTGTCCTAAAAGCCTCAACAACCCTTTCCTAAAGATTCCCTAAAAAAGTCTCCTTATAAAAAAAAATTTTTTTCTAAAATATATTTACCGCTGTTTCAACTTGATTTTTCACTTCTTCAGGTGTACTATTCAAAGAAAACTTTAAAGGTCTCCCCAAATGTGTAACCATTTTGACTGGAAAACCTCCATAAATTGGGCAAAGAGGAAGACGTGTTTTTTCATAAAGAGGCCTAAATAAACGTCGGCCCCATCTGGGAGTTCTGAAAGCATCACGACCTAAAAATAAAATTAATTTTTCAAAATAAATTTTAAATAAAACAAACAATTTTCTGTAAACATGGGAATAACAGGCTGCAAAAAAATGAAATAAAAAATTATTTTAAAAAACAAGAAAAACTAACAACATCAGCTCCAATCACAACTTTAGCAAAACCCAATCGATTCCCCCAAATTGTTTCATAATTTACAGGATTAGAAAAAAGTGCTTCTCGAACACCTCCTGGCGCTATAATTAATAAATGCCCGTCTTTGAGTGTTTTAATACAATCATCAACTGTTCCGGGCGTCATTCCAAAAACTTTGCACATTTTGCCCCAACCTACAAAAAAATAATTTTAAAATATAAGAGGAGATAAAGAAATTGGAGGGAAAAGCCTCGGATTTTTTTAATTTTGTAAAAAAATTATTTAAAAAAATCCAAAAAATAAAAATTTTAAAAATCTCAGTTTGACCTCAAAGCTTTAAAAAATTTTTTTCAACTTATTTTTAAAAATAATTACATAAGTAAAAAATAATTAAAAAAAAACCTGGTATTTTGAAAACAAATTTATCAGCCACACAATGAATTGTTCTCTTTTTAAAAAGAATTCCTTTAGATATAACGTAGTATAAATCAAGTGGAAGAGTTCCATGATATGTTACAATAAGTGCTGGGCCTTCTTCTGGTAAATTTTCTAATCCAGTAATTTCATAACCTAAAAAAGGAAAATTTAAGTTTAAAAATTGCGTGAGGAATTGTTGAAAATTAATTTAAAAAATTTTTTCCTTACCATGCCAGAAGAGACCAACGCCATCCCAAAAACTAGCAATACTCGTTCTCGCACCATCCCAATAGCTGGATGCATACTAAAAATAAACTCTTATTTAGTAAAAAAATATTTTTAAACGTAAAAGATAAAGAAAGCTATTTTTCAATGTTTCTACTTTCAAAAATAAGCAAAATAAAAAATAATATCGCCAATTAGAATCGAACCCCAACCCTGCCCGTCAAAAACCAAGAACATTATCCACTACACTAATTAGACAACAGACAAAAATTTTTAAAAATCAATTAAAAGAAAAGGATTTAATTTCAAAAAATATTTTTAAAGAAAAAATAGCAGAAACATGACACTAATTTAAATGAATTTAAAGATGAAAAACTTAAAGCTTAAATAAACAAAAAAAATTATAAAAACAAAGAAAAATCTTTTACCGCTTCACGTATTCTATTTCTGAGTCCATAGCAGTGAAGGAAAATTACACTTGCGTAAATTAATAATAAAAGAAATATTGGCAAAATAAAGGCAACAAAAATTGGCAGAAAAAGCCAAATTAGATACTAAAAAATAAGGGAAATTGATTTTTTAATTTAATTAGAAAAAAATTAATTTAAAATTTACTTCAAGATAATCCAGATCCCAATATTTTAGTACACCGTCTAGCCACTGTGAAAATGAATCTGAAAAAGAAAATAAATTTATTTAAGAAATTTTGATTAAAAAAATTAATAATTAATTCAAAAATTTAATTAGTCCTTTTTTACTTTTAAAAATATTTGTGGAAAAAAATGAAATGAAAAAAAAATTTTTTTTTTGAATTAGAAACGGTGATATTTTGATGCGGAAAGTTTGGACGCGCTCGCTTATTAAAAATTAAAATATGAAAACTTCTAATATTAAAATTAAGTAAATATATCCTCTATATCCTCTATAAAGTTATCTACCTCGTCTAAAAATTTTAAAATTTTTTGTCTGTTAATTCAAAAGAAATCTTCAAAAAAAAACTGATTTTAAAGCAATTTTGGGCAATCCCGGAGAATTGGGGTCCCTGCGGAAAAAAATCTTAAAAATAAGAAAAAGGATTTTTCTAGGGTAAAAAAATATGCTGATTACGAATCCGAGCTCAGATTTTGAAAAAGTCGAATCCCGAACCCGAACCAAATTTTGAACCCTGAACCCGAATTTCGAATAAGCAAATGATAGCTCGTTCGAAAGAGCTCGTCGAGCTGCATCGTATGACACCAAAATCAACGCGATCGGACCTGTTTCGACAAAGTTATGACATAAAGTAAACCCTTGGGAGTACTGTAAGAGACGGCGACTTATGTCATAACTTTGTCTAAACTTGTTCAATCACTGTAATTTTGGTGTCATTCGACTCATCTCGACGAGCTCTTTCGAATGAGCTATCATTTGTACAAACTTTTTTTTACTCCAAAAAATCACCCGTGGTTTTTCAATATTTAGGGGTCTGTATCTCGGTTCAATCCGGTCGAATTTCATTGATTTTGGTGTCATTCGACTCAGCTCGATGAGTTCTAGATTCTTTTGATAGACTGGCCATTTTGTACAATGTCCGATAATGTTCGGGGCCAAAAATCCTGTTCGGGGGCAAAAGTCCGAATTCGGGTTCGGGATTCGACTTTTTCAAAATCTGAGCTCGGATTCGTAATCAGCATATTTTTTTACCCTAGAAAAATCCTCTTTCTTATTTTTAAGATTTTTTTCCGCAGGGACCCCAATTCTCCGGGATTGCCCAATTTTGTGTCAACTTTCACTACTTTATTTTCAGAATTTCTGAAATTCTGATTCTGAAAATCAGAATTTTCTTTTCAAAAAATCAGAATTTTCTGAAATTTTCAGAAAATTTAATTAACATTATCGAGGAAATATTGGCAAAAATTAAATGTTTCAAAGTGTTTATTTTTAAATTATAAAGCTTTTGACTTAAACATTATGCGAGCTGACTATGTGGGAGGGGATTAAATAAAACAAAATAAAATTCTGTCTGAAATTTTATTTTTTTTAAATAAAATGTGTACTTTTCAAAAAAACACAAATCCAGACAAATCCATAAAAAAAAGAAAATATCGATTAAATAATAATTGCGTAAAAAAGAGGGAAAGGCAACTACACCCAACTACCCCCCTCCCTTCCTCTCCCCTCCTCATTTCCTTCCCTAAAACCTTCTTATCTCCCCCCCCCCCCATCCCAAAAAAGACTCACTCACCCACCAATGTACAGTTGCAGCCATTCTGGCCAACCCATGTTTTGAAGCAATTCTTTAACAAATGTGGCAGCCACCAAAATGGTTGTAGAGAAAGACATTTAGTTTAGAGCCACTCCTTTCTTCTTCTTTTCCCTCCTCCCCTTTTTTTGTTTGTTTGATTTTTAGGCCCTCCCTTCCTTTCCTTTATTCTTTTTTTTTAGATTCTTGGCCCTCTTTTAACGAGTATTTTAATAGAAGTTTGCTTTGCTCTTTTTCTGTGTTCACAAAGTAATTTGTCTTTTTATTTTCTTCGTCTTTCTTCTCTTTTGATCTCCTCTCCTTTATGCACGTGTCCAATTTTTTTTTCAAATGATCGTCCACCTGTTGTAAATTTTTGATTGAATCATCAGTTAGGTAAATATATAAATAAATTGATTACTTTCCAAATTAATTTTAAATTTTTTAAACGAAGTCCACGAGGTTTCTTTGATTTTTCTTTTATTCTCGCTCAACATGAGTGAGAATATTCGGCAAATTCTCGACTTCAAAGAATTCCCCAAAGGAAAGAGAAGTCTCCACATAACTCCCCCTCTAACAAGAAAAATCCCTCTTATTAGAGCTATCCAAGACCGAAACTTTTCCAAGACTCTTAGACCGTAAAAACCCCAAGAAAAGTCTTGAGTCAAGATCAAGGGTCTTGGACAGCTCTACCCCTCGTAGTCTCTCCACCACCAAAACACATTAATTTGGAAAGTAATTATTTAAATTTAGAAAATAAATATTGATAAAAAAATTGTTAAAAACAAAATATTAAAAAATTTTAAAAATTCTAAAATGGTCATTATTTTATTTAATTTATGTATTACTGCGCATAAATAAAAATAAAATTGTATGAGTCAACAAAAAATATTTAAAAATATTTTATCAAAGAATAAATATTTTTTAATTTATTTTTCACGAAAAAAAAACAAAATTTAGGAAAAAGGTATAACCGTAAATATTCTAATTGGGGACTAGACTAGGAGGGTCATACGAGATCGTTAATCGAGATTTCTCTTTGAGATCTTGTCTCAATCCATCTCTCTAATCCTAATATAGAAAGTCCATTCCAAAATAAAAATTAGGGTTCTTAGCGACCGCTGTGACGGCACAAACGGGAAATGAAGAATAAATGTATTTATTACAGTTAAATCATTGCCTTATTCAAAACAAAAAATTAATTATTAAAAGTGGGGGGATTTCGAGGAGAGAATTCTTTAAGGTTAATATCCTTTCCTTTTTTTCAGCTGGCAGTTTTCCTATAGAGGAAGGATTAACATCTTAAATACAACATTTATTAAATTAAAATTAATTTTAGTAGACTGACATTTGCGAAAGTCGCTGATTTTTAAATTATACCAAATGTAGATTTTCTATCTGACGTTTTTAAGAGAATAAATAAATTAAATAAACATGACATAAAAAATAGGTAAAATTAGAAAAAGACTAAAAACCTCTTCCACTTATTCCAATTTAAATAATTCATTTGTCCGCAAATACCAGTCCGCAAAATCAGAAAATTAATTTTAAATAGGAGCCAAAGGGGACTTCCGGGGCTAAAGCAAATTCAGAAAGATTTCCGTTAGGAACGCCAAAGTAAACGCCAAAATTTTGGCCCACACCCAATTTTAGCCTCCTGAAATCGACCCCCTGGCTACGCCCTTGGTGAACCAAAAATGTCTGTCTACAAAATAGAGGTGATTTTTTACCCCTCGGAAAGGAATAAAATAAAAAAAAGAAAATTAAAAACCTTCATTTTCTCTAAAATTTTCTACAATTATTCTAGTAAAGCAGCTGGGCTATAGCTATTTCTCTCCTTTAGCTAGTGCAAAAGGTTATTCGGCGGCTGGGAGCGAACCAGCATCTTCAGTAGACCGGACTGATGTGTTAGCCATTACACCACGCCGCCTACTGCTCAGCCTTAGGAAATTAATAGCTATATGCTTTACATTCTTTTATTCTCTACAAAGTCTCGGCCTTTTTTGTTTTGACAATTTTGGGGTTTCTTCAATTTCTTTTGATCTTGTAAAAATTAAATATCTGTCTCCTCCAGATGTTTCCAATTCTAATTTTTCTAATAAAAATTCTGACAAATTATCTTCACGTTTAGCAAAAACATTTAAATAGCCATCACAATTTGCACCAAATAATGGAATTAAAAACTTAAAAAATAAAATTATTTTGGAAATTTTAACAGCTCTCCTCCTTCTACAATACAAATAAATTGACTCAAAATTTAAATATTCTAAAATGGAAATAAAACCGTTAAAAATCTGAATTCGGCGGGAATTGAAAAGCTGTTTTGCTTCGTATCAGAGGGGTCGGAATTCCAATTTCCGACGTTTTTTTCCTTTCGATTTCCGAAAAAATTTTAATTTCCGACTTTTGCGCCAGTTCCGATTTACGGGTCTTCCTATTTCCGACATGTCAGACTGTTCCGACCCACCTCTTGCTTTGTATAACGGGGACTGAAGTTGGAAAAATAAAAAGAAAGTTTTCTGAATGTCTTTGTAGGCTGTAATGCGCGTTAAAATTTAAAATATCACGAACCCGTTTTTCAAAAACAAATTATCGTCCCAACAAAAAAACCAAAAAAAATTTCAAGAATAAATTCTTGAAGAACTCCCCCATTATTTATTTCCCTAAAAACTCAAAAAAAAATTTTAAAAAAACCTTGGATTCATTTTTTCCAACAAAATTATTTTCACGATCATAAACATCAGCATTTCCAACCATAAAAGGTTTTCCCAACAAATTCCCAACTTCTTCATGTTCCAATAAAATTGCCACAGCTTCTTTGTAATGCCCAATTTTCTTCATTCTCCATTGATTAATTTTCTCAATTAAATAAATTCCACTAACTCCAAATACAAAAACATTAAATGAGGCAACTGCCAAAGAACTAATTCTTACTTGACGATGAAAAGTTATTAGCCTTTTAAACATTTAAAATCTAAAAATTTTTAAAAAAAAATATGTAATTGGAGGGATAACAGGTACATGTAAAAAGTACATATATCTCTAGTACATATAGAAAATATTTTAAAAAGGCACAAAATCCTTTAAAAATAGATTTTAAAAATAATTCAAAAATCAAAATTTATATATTTAAAAAATAACCAAAAGATTAAAAAGAAATAATTTAAGAGTTTTTCTTTTACTTTTCATTTAAATGCTTCTTTATTTATTCATCGTCAATATTTGAATTATGCGAAGAAGTAATTTCTTCAATTGATGACTGTCTTGAAGAAGAAACTGGAGTTTCTGGTGATTCAACCAAAGCAATTGTAACAGCCGAGAGAAATGCCGGAATTGATTGATAACGAATCTAAAAGTTTAAAAAATATTAAGAAGATAAGACAGTGGACAAAAATCTTTTAAAAAAAGGGGAAGTTTTGCCCCAGGCATTTTTATTTATCGGTTCGGGTTGGAAAAAATAATCATACTTGCAAAGTATTTTATATGTAGAGGTTTTTTGTAAAATAAAAATAAGGGATGGAAGATTTTGAATCTATAACGAGAAAGAAATCGACTTGAATAACAAAAATCGACTCCCCTAATGTTTTTGTTTAGATCACATAAGCCCGAACTCCAGTCTCTACTCGTAACTATTGTCTACTTATGTCCAAAAAGAAAAAAAAATTTATAAAGTTTTTGAGTTTTGTCACCAAAGATTCTACAAAAAATTCAGTCCTAATTAGTCAGATCTCACCTTAGAATTAAAAAAATAAAAAATAACCATTTTGCGTCTCTTCAACGAATTAACACCAAACTTCGCAGCAGCAGTTGCCTCAGCAGCTACTTGTTTAACTACATGGTCGTCATGTGCTTCATCCAAAGGATTGCGCTGAACAAAACGACAAATTCTTGTTGTATCAGAACCTTTCTCCTAAAAATTAAAAAAAATCAAAAATTTTCAAAAATTAAAAACAAACATATTCTTCAAGTTTGCTTCGAAGTTGTGCCATTTCTTTTTCATATTTTTGTTTAAAAATTTTGGCAATAGTCGAGACACACAGGCCCGTAGCCAGAATTTTTTAGGGGGAGGGGGGGGCGTAGGCCAACAAAATTCAATTTTTTGCACAATCCATCCACAAAATTTTTTCCTTTTCCCTGTTTAGAGGGGAGGGGGGATTCACCCCCCTACCCCCTGGCTACAGGCCTGCTTCTACACCAGAAAATGCTGATTTAAATTGAACTTGTTAATCAAGTAAAAGTTGCCCATCTTTTTGTTCTTCCAACAATTCTACATTTTTATCACTATGTATCACTGGAAAAATTTTTAATGAAAATAGAAACAATATTAGGGGAAAAAATTTGCTAAACTTAAAATTACCCAAAAAATTACACAAAAAAGCATTTGTGCATTCTGAATTTCAAGTTGTTCAATTTGACGTTCACAGTCAAGAAGTCGTAATTCTTTTGCAGACATTCCTTCATTAGAATTTTGTGGAGGCAAAGGTTTTACAAATTTGTTTTCCTCTGAAGAAAGAGAAGCACCTTCAGTTTGAGTAGATAATCTTGAAAATAATAATTTAAAAATTCAAAAATATTCTTCAAAATGTTTTAACAGTGAACTCTTGGACGATATTCTGCTGTTATTCCTCAATATCTTCAATGTTTCCCGAATATTTGATTTGATTAATTTTAGAGTGAAGCGAGTCTTTAAATTTAAAACCAATTTTAAAAATAATTTAAAATAAAAAAACCCAATAAAGATTGAGTTTAGATTTGTAGCTTTGTAGAATCCATAAGATTTGCATAAACCAAAATAAAATACAGATTGAGTTTAGATTTGTAGCTTTGTAGAATCCATAAGATTTGCATAAACCAAAATAAAATACAGATTGAGTTTAGATTTGTAGCTTTGTAGAATCCATAAGATTTGCATAAACCAAAATAAAATACAGATTGAGTTTAGATTTGTAGCTTTGTAGAATCCATAGGATTTGCATAAACCAAAATAAAATACAGATTGAGTTTAAATTTGTAGCTTTGAAGAATCCATAGGATTTGCATAAACCAAAATAAAATACAGATTGAGTTTAGATTTGTAGCTTTGAAGAATCCATAGGATTTGCATAAACCAAAATAAAATACAGATTGAGTTTAGATTTGTAGCTTTGAAGAATCCATAGGATTTGCATAAACCAAAATAAAATACAGATTGAGTTTAGATTTGTAGCTTTGAAGAATCCATAGGATTTACATAAACCAAAATAAAATACAGATTGAGTTTTGATTTGTAGCTTTGAAGAATCCATAGGATTTGCATAAACCAAAATAAAATACAGATTGAGTTTTGATTTGTAGCTTTGAAGAATCCATAGGATTTGCATAAACCAAAATAAAATACAGATTGAGTTTAGATTTGTAGCTGTGAAGAATCCATAGGATTTGCATAAACCAAAATAAAATACAGATTGAGTTTAGATTTGTAGCTTTGCAGAATCCATAGGATTTGCATAAACCAAAATAAAATACAGATTGAGTTTAGATTTGTAGCTTTGAAGAATCCATAGGATTTGCATAAACCAAAATAAAATACAGATTGTGTTTTGAATACAGATTAAGTTTAACAGTTTTCTAGTCCACCAAACGGATAATACTATAAAAGGAAGAATGTTAAGCATCATTATCATCAAAATGAGCCATCTACCTAAGCACTTTAATCAGGAGCGAGTAGACACCCGTGTTCAAAACAAAACGCCAAAATTAGCTCCACAACCGTCAACACAACAACAATCGTCTGGTCCTAGAATTCATGGCCAGGTATTGAAGAGGTAAAATTTCATTTAAGATATTTACCTGTCATTATTCTTATTTCAGTCTTGTCGGTCAGTCGTATACAATTATTGAGCAAATTTCCTATGGTGCTTTTGGAGCCATTTACAAGGCGAAATCGGAGCAAGAATCGATAGTGGTTATCAAAGAAGAAAACAAGTCCAAGTACAGACCAACCTATAAATTGGAGATGGAGATAAAGGTTTTGAATGCTGTCAAAGAACTCACAATTGAAGAGCAAAAACAGTTTCCAGTCTTATTGGACAGAGGCGTCAGCGCAGATTATATGTTTATCGTCATCAATCTTTTAGGAGAATCACTTGCGACCATAAAGAATCGTCGTCCAAACAAAATATTAAGGTAAAAAGCTTGTAGTTTTCAGTAATAAATTTTTCGTAACAGTTTCAACACGGGACTGTATTGTGCAATCAACGCTTTGGAAGGAATTAAGAATATCCATAAAATTGGTTTTGTTCATCGCGACTTAAAGCCATCCAATTTTTGTGTTGCAATCCGCCAAACTTTAAATCCGATTATACACATTATTGATTTCGGACTTGCCAAAAGAATTATCGATGCTGATGGTGCCACGATCGCCCCTAGATCAAAGGCGAGTTCCAAAAATTTTTGAGCTCAGTTGCAAACATTTTGAATAGGTCGTCGTATTCCCTAAAATATTTTACGTGAATATAGATCGCTACTCACCCAGAGTTATGATACACACACAGTACCGGATCATTTGTTCTATAAGGAAAACGGGTACTTAGTCAGAATAGTATTTGTAGCATATTTTAAGCCTGGCCATTTTTAATATTTTGAGGAAAGAAAAGGGGGAATAAAGAACAATTTTACCGACCTGTGATCAAGTAATTTTTTTGATTTTCAGTTGAGATTCAAAGGCTCGGTTCGTTTCGCTTCCCTTGCAATGCATAAAGGCTTCGATGTCGGCAGAAAGGACGACTGTGAATGTTGGATCTACATGATAGTTGATATGATTCTTCGTTCAAAATTGCCTTGGCATTCCGAAACACAAGTCGATATAGTTCTAGAAATGAAACAAACTGGACTAGCTGACCCATCCAAATTGTTTCCAGAAAAAGAACTTTCCGAGCTCCGTTACATTGTGGCATATTTGGCTAAGCTTCATTATGTTGACAAAATCGACTATGATTGGATGGTTACGATGATTAGGCGAGTTGCTAAGAGAAAAAGGTGTAGCTTGAAGCCACCTTACGATTGGTTTGATTAAGGAGAAAATATAGATAAACATTAACCTTCTGATTGTTGTAGCGATATTTTTTCTCCACTCTCTTCAATAATTGTCTTGTGATGTGTTGATTTGTATGTAAAAAATCGTTTGATGATCTCAGTTTATAATTAATTCATTTAATTCTATTTCTAATTCCAATCTAATCCCATTTCTAATCTACATAATTCCATTTGTCTTATTTTCTTTAGTCTTTTTCTTTGATAAAATGTGAATTTTCCTTGTGTGGCGTTTTTTTTGTCAAATTCAAGTTGAGCTAGACAAAAAATCGGGATCGGTATTTACTAAAAAATCTAAACTTACAATTTTTTGTTTTCCTTCCACTTTCTCCCATACAACTATTTTCGTACGTCCAGGTCTGGACGATTAAGAGCTGAAATTGAGGGATTAAGATAGAAGGCCAAGGAGCAAGATTTCTTTAGTTTTTGTCCTTAGATTAGTTGTATTTTTGCGTCAATTTTATCAAAAATAATGCAAAACACAATGCGCTCACCCTGGGTTGGGACAACTTTCCTAAATGTTTAGCCAGCCCTTAAATTCTTAAAACACTTTTCTCAATGTTGGAACAATTTTGAGTGGATGAAAATTGAACAAAACTTGCCAAACGTTATTGAGCTGACTCTCTTTAAATGGAGATTAAATAAAATTCCTTTTTTTCAAACACCCAAAAAATAACCTTTGATTCAGTTTTACATAATTATTTTCATGGTCCAGTAAACTAGAGCCAAAACATTTAATGAGGCAATTGCTAATGAAATAATTTAATCCTGGGAGTATCTTATAACGAGTCTATTTTAAAAATATTTTATGGGAGTAATTGCAAATAGTTTTTTGCCTTCGGTCATTTTATAATACTTTTGAGAAAGAAGAGTAGGAAAATTGCCCCTTTCTATTAAAGTTTTGAAAACCTTTCCCTCCTCTTTAAAAAAGAAATTAGAAAAAAATCAAAATTTATATACACTGCGGTGCAAAAGTTTATCTACACCTACCAAAAAATTTTTTAGAACGATATATCTCGGGGAAAATTTGTTTTCATGGAATGATTTTTTTCACTATTATTAAGCGAAAAGTGCTCTTTCTAATAAGCTATAGTTTTAAAAATAACCCCCAGTACTTATTAAAATATAACCCAGTTTCCCAAACTGCTTCAATTTTCTTCGGTGCAAAAGTTTATCTACACTTTGCAGAAATTGGATTTTTAGAAAAACAAATGGCAGAAAAAATACAAAAAAATTCTGTGGTCATTTCCATTGATATTGAGTTAAAAATAAAAAAGAACGAAGTCCGTAATTGTTTTCATCATCGAGATCTCAAATCACAAAAATCAACGGGAAAACGGGGTACAGTACTTTAAAAATTATTTTAACCCCCCAGGGCTTATATAAAAATTTTCTTTTGAGCTCATTAGAAAGCCCATAAAATTTGCTACAAAATACCATTGGTCTCGTATTTGTAAAAAAATCTGTATAATATTTACGTGTGGGTTACTTACTGTGAAATTAAAAATGAGTAAAAATGTGGGGTATTTTGGGAGGTTTTGACTAAAAATGATAAGTTATTAAATTCCTCGACACTTATCTCCATGAATTTTTTATCGGAAAAATTGAGCCTGGGCTATCTTATAGTAAATTTTATGGGCTTTCTAATGAGCTCAAAAGAAAATTTTTATATAAGCCCTGGGGGGTTAAAATAATTTTTAAAGTACTGTACCCCGTTTTCCCGTTGATTTTTGTGATTTGAGATCTCGATGATGAAAACAATTACGGACTTCGTTCTTTTTTATTTTTAACTCAATATCAATGGAAATGTCTACAGAATTTTTTTTTGTATTTTTTCTGCCATTTGTTTTTCTAAAAATTCAATTTTTGTAAAGTGTAGATAAACTTTTGCACCGAAGAAAATTGAAGCAGTTTGGGAAACTGGGTTATATTTTAATAAGTACTGGGGGTTATTTTTAAAACTATAGCTTATTAGAAAGAGCACTTTTCACTTAATAATAATAAAAATAATCCATTTTATCTAAACGAATTTTTCTCGAGATATATTGTTTTAAAGAAATTTTCAGGCAGTGTAGATAAACTTTTGCACCGCAGTGTATGTATTTAAAATAAAAATAACCAAAAGATGAAAAAGAAATAATTTAAGAGCTTTTCTTTTACTTTTCATTTAAATGCTTCTTTATTTATTCATCGTCAATATTTGAATTATGCGAAGAAGTAATTTCTTCGATTGATGACTGTCTTGAAGAAGAAACTGGAGTTTCTGGTGATTCAACCAAAGCAATTGTAACAGCCGAGAGAAATGCCGGAATTGATTGATAACGAATCTAAAAGTTTAAAAAATATTAAGAAGATAAGACAGTGGACAAAAATCTCTAAAATAGAGGGGGGGGGGTAAGGCTTAATGTTAGCACTGGGCAGGATCCTGCGACACCTTGGCCAGTGAACTGCTTTCACCTTCCCTTTTAATAAAACCCCAGCCTAATAATCATTTTTATACAGCCATTATCCCTTGTTCATTACAATTTAGGATTGTCAGTTTCACCAGATTCCTCAGTTAATCGAAACCGGACCAAAAATTCTGGGTTTTCGGTTAGGTTTGAAAACAACAATCCTACGTACAAAGTATTTTATAGTGGTGCAAGGAGCCCCTTGGTTACGCCTATTATAATTCTAAAAATTGTGGACAGTTTATCCCATTTTTAAATATTAAAAAAAATAAAAATTCCAAACCAAATAATTCTCCAAAACATCCTTCCATTGTCGAGCACTTTCACTATCCAAAAGATCAATACCTGCACCAGTTGTTATTTGTGTACTACTAGTACATTCAACATCTAATGGAATTTGTTGTTTTTGAAAAAGAAAAGTGCAATCTTTTGAAAGAATATTTTCAGCTTCACAAAAACCATCTTCTCCAAAACGAATATCATAACCACACAAAAGTTTAACAAATTCTTTGTATTGAGCCAAATATTCAGAATTACTTTGTTCATTTTGTTCAACCAAAGTTTTGACATTTGCTAATTGAAGACGAAGTTCACGAATTGTAGAAGGATCTTCTTCGTTTTCTTCTTCTTCAACCAAAAATGTTAAATCAGAATTATTTGCTGGTTGAGAAGAATCAATATCGTCTTCCTTTAATAAAAATTATAAGCGAAGGTTTTGAATTTCTTACATGATTCAAAACGATTTTTTTTCTTACAATTACATAAGAGAAATCGACTTAAATGACATAAATCGACTCCCCTATTATTTTTGTCTCTAGAAAAACATGTAACTGGAGATCAAACGGGGGTATCGTACGAGATATCCCGAAAAATCCCGATTTTGGTAATAAGATTTTTGTGGGAGATCTTATAGGTCCGAACTCCAGTCTCCACTCGTAACTACCATTTATGTCCAAAAAGGAAAAAAAATTATTAAAGTATTTGAGTTTTGTCACCAAAAATTCAACAAAAAATTCAGTCTTAACTAGTCAAATCTCGGAATTTAAAAAAATGAACTAACCATTTTGCGTCTCTTCAAAGAATTAACACCAAATTTCGCAGCAGCAGTAGCCTCAGCAGCTACTTGTTTAACTAAATGGTCGTCATGTGCTTCATCCAAAGGATTGCGTTGAACAAAACGACAAATTCTTGTTGTATCAGAACCTTTCTCCTAAAAATTAAAAAAAAAATCAAAAATTCTAAAAAAAACAAACATATTCTTCAAGTTTGCTTCGGAGTTGTGCCATTTCCTTTTCATATTTTTGCTTAAAAATTTTGGCAATGCGACGAGATTCTGCCAAACTTAAACCTTCTCTTTGATCTTCTAAAATCTTCAATCTTTTTGTTAAGTGCTCATTTCTAAAATTTTTTTAAAATTATTTTTAAAAACTTCTAAAAAATACTTTAATCTAAGTTGTTCTTCTCCACCAGAAAATGCTGATTTAAATTGCTCTTGTTCTTCGAGTAATTTTTGATTTTGTCGAACAAGTATTGAAAGTTGCAATTTTAAGTCATCTTTTTGTTCTTCCAACAATTCTACATTTTTAGCACGATCACTGGAAAAAAATTTTAATGAAAATAAAAACACAGTCCGCAGTTAATCCACAAAATATTTTGGGGAAAAAATTTTTCTAAAATTAAAATTACCCAAAAATAATCAATTGTTCACGCATTTGTGCATTCTGAATTTCAAGTTGTTCAATTTGACGCTCACAGTCAAGAAGTCGCAGTTCATTTGCAGACATTCCTTCACTAGAAGAATTTTGTGGAGGTAAAGGTTTTGCAAATTTGTTTTCCTCTGAAGGAGAAGTTCCTTCAGTTTGTGTGGATATACCTAGAAAATAATAATTTAAAAATCCACAAATAATTTTTTTAATTTTTTACAGTGAAATCTTGGTCGATATTCTGAAGCTGTAATTCCCTCAATATTTTCAATATTTCCTGGATAGTTGATAATTGATCCATTCGTGAGTGAAGCGACCATCTCTAAATTAAAAATAATTTTAAAAAATAATTTAAAATTAAAAAAAATCTCCAACCGTCTGTAACCATTTCTGGAGCAATTCCTCTATAAGCAAAATAAATCTTCAAAAGAAAATATATTAATTTAAAAAAATAAAAACAAACTCTATAACGATTTGCTTCAGTCCATCCACCAACTTCTTTCAAAATAACCTTCATTTCATTTAATTGTTTGTCAGCAAATTCGGCCCAAGTTTTGTATTTTGACAAAGCATTTCGATAATCGCTTAGAAGTAACCTCTCTTTTGACTGAAAATTTTTTGTTAATTTGTTAGTCTCTTGTTTACATTAGACCAAAAAAAGTTTATTTTTTTAATTATGGGGTAAAAGTTAGTAGAAAAGTTTAACCAACGGATAAGAATCAAACCTTGGCCTCCCTGCAGTCATTTCTAACGCCTTATCAACTTAAGATATTAATTTCAATAGATTTTTCTCTAAATCTTAACGCTTAGCTAACAAATTGTTTTGATAGACAGGTGGATTTCCCTTCATTAAATCCCTTATCCCTTAGAACTAAACGGAAGTCCCCCTATTCCCTTATAATTTAATTAAATTCCACTAACCTTGTCTTCACTAAAATCAAAACTTTTTCGTTTTCCTTTATCAATTTCCATTTTTAATTCATCCAATTGAATATTTAATTCCTCAATTTTTGCTTTAGAAGTATTCTCAACAGCTTTTAACCGTTCAATTTCTTCATTTTTAGAATTTAACTTTCGGTGAAGAGAATCAATTTCTTCTTTAGCTTCAATTAATTTAACATTTAAAGAATTGTCTGTACCTAAAGATTAATTAAAATTAAATTTTATTTAATTCAAAAACAAACTTTGTGTAATCCGTTTAAGTTCGTTTGGAGTTGATGTGTATCTACTAGAATGATGACCTCCACCAATAAATCGTCCAAAGTCCCGTTGAAATCGACGTTCAACTTTTTGAGAAAAAATCCTTGAAATATCCTGATCTTCTGAAGACATTGATCCAAATTTTGTTTAAAAATTGTTCTAAAAATTTGCCAAAAAATAATTTTATAAGGAGAATGCAAGCTTTACTTGACGCCAAAATAGCCAACAAAATTTCAAAAATAATTAAAAGCCAATAAACAGCATAAAAGATAAAAACATTATTGGTCAAAAAAATTTTATCAAAACAAATTTCCAGTCACAAAAAAAAAATCGGGTAAAAATCCAGTCGCAAAAAAAATTTCCTAATACATTTTACGTCAATCATATAAACAAATAATTTAATGCAATAATATTTTCATCGGAGACCATTTAATTCTATTTTTTGTTTAAATTCATATCTAACGCTTCTTGAAATTGACTTTAGAAGTTGATGGGGTAGCGAATTGACATTGATAGAGACCAACACCGGGAGTCGCTTTAAAGAAAAAATTTAAATATTTATTAGAATGAATCATTTAATGTTTCGATAGTCCTACTGGTTCACGTAACACTTTTTATACTACTCACACAAGGATACGTGTCGAGTGTCCAGTGTTTTGTTCCGTGCATTTTTAATTGAGTGTAGGAAGGGCACTCAACACTTTAAAAAATACCCAACAAAAACACTCGACACGGATGTCTATGAGGGAGCGCACCCTTAGAAGTTTTCAATAATTTCCAGATTGTTATACCGTTCTATAAAAAACACCCCGTTTCTCCCCGGAAAATTGTCCTCATGAAGACCCTGGTGTTTTAAATTAAAACTTACGATCAGACATTGGCGAACTCCATTGGGACGAGGAAGCACGTCGCGGTGGATAATTCTTTTTATATCCCTTAAACAATTCCTGAGCTGTAGGCTGTTGAATTCTTCCAAAATGACGCTCAATTTGATCTTTAGTTAGCAAACGATGAATGTTTTGTGTACGTGCCAAAATATTTTCTTCTAAAAATTTTTTGTTAAAAGAAAAATAAAAAATTTTTATATACTCAATGCCCATTTTGGAACAATCTTTCGCGGCTGCTCATCATTGTCAGTTTCATCACCAGATGACAAATCATCCACATTGTAGTCGTTTTCAGTACTTGGCAAGAATACTTTCTCTTTTGTCATATCATACATACTAAATAGAGAAAATAATTTTAAAAAATGTTGAAATTCAACCTAATTTGCTCCAAATCAATGCCAGTCATATCATCACGTTCATCCTCCAAATGTTCTTCTGACAAAAACTCGTTCTCCATAATTTTTGTATTTTCTTTTTCATCCAGATAAAATTCCTTAACAGCAACAGTCTTTGTGGCAACAACAGTAGATGAGGTTGGAGTATTTTTAGTTTGGACTGAACATTCTTCTTCCAATGTAAATTGAGGAATTGGTGTTTTAGTGAACTTCCTAAAGTTAAAATTAATTAATTTCGAAAATATTTTAAAGAGATTATGCTGTCTGTAATGTCTAAAATTCACTAACAATAAATAGTAAAGGTTTAGAGATATGGATTAGGCTAACAAGGAAAGGTTGCGAGGTGTCCGACCTGAAAACGGTCAAGACCGGGCTCATTCAATAGAGAATGTGCCCTTTCTAGCAAGGATTTTTTGCCGTTTTTGCCTGTTTTTTGATCTGGCCAAGATATGTATGGCCCTCCAAAGTCCCAAAAGTTGGCACAATTTTTCTCCTCAAATATTTCACCGTTTTAAGAAAATTGATACTTGTGCTCATCTGGAACAACCCCAGCTATTCCCGCATTCGTTCATACACTTTTCAAAAACTACTAAAAATTTTATTTACTTAATAGCAGAACTATGTGGTTGATGAGCTTCTTTTGATTTAACCTCAGTTGCAGGAATACTCTTCACATTAGGCGTTTTATATATCTTCTTACTTTGCGCACTCAAAGGTTGAAACATTCGACTTTGAACGACCGGACTGGCATAATTTTGAAATCCAGCCTGTTTTTCCTTGTTTTGAAATTCTTTAACCGCCTCCAAATGTTTTCGCAAAGCGTTCTCGCGTTCAAGCCTAGCCTCTTCCTTCTTTCTGTTATTTTGTTCAACTCGTCTCTCACGCTCCTCCCGCTCTCTGCAAAATAGAAAAAACCCAAAATAAAAAAATAAAAATCCAAAGAAACCTTTTTGCTCGATCAGCCTTTTCCCTCAACAAGTCCTCACGCGCTCTCTTTGCCTGATCCGCCTTTTCGTCGATTTGCTTCAATTTCTGAACCTTCTGAAATGTTGTGTTGAGAGCCGCCGGCGTTTTCGCTGGAGTCTTTGTTGGAATCAATGGTTGAGTCTTCTTAGGAGTAGCAAAAGTATTCTAAAAAATTCTATTACTTTAATAAATTTTAATAAAATTCTTTACTTGAGTGAGACGAATTATTGGTGGCATTTGAATTGGTTGTGTAGGCTTGACTATTTCCTTCGTAATGGCCAACTTACTTATTGAACCAACAGCAGGTTTAGAGTTGCTAACGATTCCATGTGGAGTACCCAGCATCTTCAACTTTTTTGGCTACAATTTTATAAAAATATGGATTGAAAGTTTCTACCTTTGGACTGTATGGAGTAATTGGAGTTGACAAAACTCCGAAAGATGACGTATTGATAGGAACGCGAGACACAAAAGGAGTTTCTGGCACATATAAAATTTCCTTTTCTTGCTTCACAAAAGATTCCGGATCATTTGGAGGCGCTTCCTCCAAAACTCCAGCAGATGAAGTATTGATAGGAGGCGCTTCCTCCAAAACTCCAGCAGAAGTATTGACAGGAGGCGCTTCCTCCATCTGTTCTTGTGAAGGCTCTTCTTCCATTTCTTCTTCATTAACAGAATGTTGTTCTTCAAGAATATGTCCTTCGACAGTTAAATCAGTTGGAGGCTCTTTCTCCGCCTGTTCTTCTTCATTCTCTTTTAAATTCTCAGGCTGATCCAAAAGTGTCGTTTCGTCCATATCTTCATCATCCGAATCAAAATTCAATTGCTTGAATTTACTGATTTGTTCAAGGAGAGCAGTCGCGGGCTTGGCCCTTCGTGGCGTTTGCAAAGCCTTGGGAATACAAACAAATTATATAAAAAAATAAAAGGAAAAACCTTTTGATTGTCATAGTTTTCCCGCACAAAAGTTTTCAGCTCAGTCTTAACCTTCTGAAAATCATCCACTTTTTTCTCAAGAATCTTGCCAACTTTATCATAAAAGATCTTTCCCATCAATTTGTCATAACTCGACCAGTTGACAAGGCTGGCAGCAAGTTTCAGGTCCTCAATCTTCTTTGCGTCCTCATCATCCTCAACTTTTTCATTTGTTTTTGACGGCTTTTTGCATGCAGATCTAGTTCTATATTGTCTGCTGCTTGTTGGTTTAACTTTCTTAGCTTTTATTGTTGCTGGCATCTTTTAATAATTACTTGAAATAACTATCTTTAAAGTAAAAAATTAGTTCAATGAATAATTGAAAGAAGCAACAAAAATAGGAAATAAAACAAAAATTGGTATTCCCAAAAATTATTTAAAATTAAAAAGAGATCAATCGATAATAAGGTCAATCGATAAAGGAGTAAAAAAGGTCAATCGATTAACGTGCTTTTGTTAAAATTCATTGCTTAAAAATTAGTTACATTGATTGAAGCTGAAAAAGCGAAACTAAACAAAAAAATTTAAAAATCAAAATTTGGCGCGCAATAAAGTCTAACTGTCTGTCAACGGTGGGGTATGATTCAGCGCCCACGATTCAGCGCACACGATTCAGCGCACACGATTCAGCGCACACGATTCAGCACCACCACGATTCAGCGCACACGATTCAGCGCACACGGTTCAGCGCCAGTTATAGAAGGCACGTTTCAGCGCCCATCAATTCATTTGCATGAGTTCGACGAACAGAGTCAAATTACCGAGACCAAGTTGATTTGTAATTATGCACAAACCTATGACCAACAGAATCTTCGCTGGAAAAACTGTTTTTGTGCTGCTACGGAGGGTAGGCCGGGCATGGTCTTCGCTACACGATGGCCGTGCTTCGCTGCGGTCGTGCTCGCTTCGCTCGCGGCGACCGTAGCGAAGCGGCGGCCGTCGTTCCGCTCGACATGCCCGGCTTCCTCCGCAGCGGCAAAAACTTTTTTCCGCGTAAATTTTTTGAAATGAAAAGAAAAATATTGAAGCAAAGTTGATAAGTTGATAAAAAATATGTAGAACTTTTTAAAAAAAGTTGATAAAAATAAAAAGTTGATAAAAAAAGCTGATAAAAAAAAGTTAATAAAAAACGAGAACAATGATTTTTACTTATTTTTTTGCTAAATAACTGGCGCTGAACTATAACTGGCGCTGAACCGTGTGCGCTGAATCGTGTGCGCTGGGACACGCCCGAGTAGGCGCGGGCCAAGTAGGCGCGACCGAGTAGGCGCGACCGAGTAGGCGCAGGCCAAGTAGGCGCAAGGCCAAGTAGGCGCACGGCCCAAGTAGGCGCAAATCTTTTAGCTCAAAATATTCAAATTAAAAAATAAGTCAGTATAAATATTTTTCTGTTAATGAGTTAGAAAATAGATTCTTGATAAAAATTAAAGAAAGGTACCTATTTTAGAAGAAAGACACCTTAAATATCGATATCCTGTAGTATACGTTCGTACTGTACGCATTAACTAGGCAGTTCAAAAGTGAATATTTATTTTTTAATCCATTAAAAGCTTCTAATCATCCAAAGACTCCTAACTGCAGCTGGTCTTTTTTGTGAAATGCCTTAAGGAAGTTTTTAGTCTTATCTTGATTGTTAATTATACCTTTTTATAAACTTCATGTTCCCTTAAACTAGTTAGTTCCTAAAGGCTAACTAGTTAGTACAGGTTAATTATTCATAACATTCCCTTAAACTAGTTAGTCCTCCTTAAACTAGTTGAACTAGTTAGTATTCATAACATTGGTAAGCCACATGAATTATCAAAGCAGCAAGGCTTTCACTAATTAACAAACTTAGCAAATAATCCAAAACTTATCAGCAGCTAAATATGGAGCTTTTATGAGAAAAATATTAAAAGATTTTTTTTAATTTTATCAAAAAATAAAAACATCAACGAGCTTCAGTTAATAAATTTTTTTCCCTAAGAAGGGCAGTTTTGCAAAAAGTCCAGTGTCTACATAAAGTTGCTTGATTATTCATCCAACTAATTAACAAAATTAGTTGAAGATTAACAAAAAAATTTTGAGCAAAAATTAGGAAATTTACCCTTGCGCCTACTTGGGCCTTGCGCCTACTTGGCCTTGCGCCTACTTGGCCTGCGCCTACTCGGTCGCGCCTACTCGGTCGCGCCTACTTGGCCCGCGCCTACTTGGGCTGTACCCGTGTGCGCTGAATCGTGGCGGTGCTGAATCGTGTGCGCTGAATCGTGTGCGCTGAATCGTGGGCGCTGAATCGTGTCTAACCGGTCTGTCAACGTGCCCGCTCAAAGGATAGATGAATCAAAGGATAGATACGGCTAAAATCGATCAAAGGATAGACGCGGCCAAAATCTGCTAAAGGATAGATAAGGGAAAAAACGATTAAAGGATAGATGCATCAAAGGATAGATGCGCCAAAGGATAGATAGGGGTAAAATCCATTAAAGTATAGACACGTCTAAAATTGGGTAAAACATAGATAAAGTTTGGAGTCCAGTTGAGTACCAACTGTTGAGTGCCTGATCTTTGTTTGTTTTTTCTGATCTTTGTTCTGAGTTCATGTTTCTGTTCTGATTTTTATTTTATTCGTACTTTAGTATATTCGCGAAAAAAGTTTTTGCCGCTGCGGAGGAAGCCGGGCATGTCGAGCGGAACGACGGCAGCCGCTTCGCTACGGTCGCCGCGAGCGAAGCGAGCACGACCGCAGCGAAGCACGGCCATCGTGTAGCGAAGACCATGCCCGGCCTACCCTCCGTAGCAGCACAAAAACAGTTTTTCCAGGGAAGATTCAGATTGTTAAATATTTTTGTCCAGACTCAAACGACCTATTCAGCTGTCTATCCTTTGATCGCTTTTGGCTGTATCTATCCTTTAGCGCATCTATCCTTTGATGCATCTATCCTTTGATAGTTTTTGGGCGTATCTATCCTTTAGTGCATCTATCCTTTAATTCATCTATCCTTTGTAGGGGAGCCTCTGTCAACCTTTAATAACGTTCTCTCTAATTATTTCTTTTTTTCTTTTCCAACTCTCATTATTTTAACGTTCTTTTCGTGAAGGAAGAATTTTCTTAAAGAATCTTTAGAAAAATTTATCTGATCCATAAATTGTGAAAATTTATTTTATAATCCAGATCCTTTTACTTCAAAGCTTTAATTTTAAATGCTACTCAAATTTAAACAAATTTGTGACATTGATGTTCTTCGTTTAAAGCCTATTTATTGTCGCCGTTTTGCAAGTGGAGGAGGACACGGACATGGGGATGATGATGATGTAAAAATGGAAAAACAACCTGATCATTATCGGTTTTTTAAACTTTTTTATTTTTTTAAATTTATAATTTTAAGACCCGGAACTGATACTTTTGCTTATGAAAATCCTTGGCCAAAATTAAACAAAGGCAGGCTTGACTGGTAAATTAATTTTGATTTGGAGCTTTATGCAAAAGTTTTTATAGAAAATTCATTTTAAAATTTATTGTTTTAATTCCCAGTAATTTTTTGATGAAATTAAATGGGTAATTCTTTGGCTGACGCCCCCCCTTTTTTTTGTTCACCTCACCTGACCATTTTGAGCTTTTTCGCTTGTCATATAATAATTTATATATCATTTGAAAGAACTGTCTGAGCTGGGTAGATTGATACTATGATCGGTTAGATTCGACTAAGCTCGAAGTTCTCTTTCGAATGTATATAAAAAATTCATAGAAATTTTATAGAAAATGAAAAAAATAGAACGTAAAAAAGGGAGGGCGTCAGCCGGAGAATTACCATTAAATGTTTTAGAAGCATTTAAATGTTTCCTTAACTTGATAATTTTTTTTATATTTTCCCCAATCTCTTAATATTTACCTATTTTTAGGCTTTTCAATGATGGATGGCGAAGGCCTTTACCTGCTGATCAAGGCGGTTATATGGTTTTTCTTCCTTTAAAATTTAAATTTTCATTAAAAAAATTTTAAGCGTCGTTCCTGGATCTGGCGTGGACATGTTGCTTCTGATGAATACAAGGATTGGTTACGATTCCATAAATATATGTTCATCCTGGGTACGTGTATTACTGTTTGGCTTGGTGTTTTTATTGGTTTGTGGATGAAGCCTGATTGGTAAAATAATTTTTTTAAATTTTTTGAGATTTTTTTTTAATTTAGGCCGGTAGGTAGAGACTGGGCTAGACGCGAAGCTCATTTAGAACTTACTCGTCGTGAACGTGCTGGCCTTCCTTTAGTTAGTCCTGACTTGATAGAACGTTCTCGTGTAGAGGCAAGCCTCCCTTCCGAGGAAGAACTTCGCGATTTTGATATTCTTATTTAGATGAAAAGTGTTTTTGGTTATTTAGATTTGTTTTGAATTTGTTTTTTGTAAAATTTTAAATGTAATTTTCTTTTAAATATTAGAAATTTAATTTTTTTTATTTTAAAAGATTTCTTTACCTAAATATTTAAAAATTATTTCTTAAAAACATTTTTTGTTTGAAAATTAAAGTTTATATAAATGTTGGGTGATGGTCAACGTCCGTCCACATCTTTGGCAACAGATGGACGAGGAATGGTCAAAGAATGGGTGATTTCTCACGAATATTTGGATAATATGAAAAATAGATTTGAGGTTAATTTTTGGTTTTTAATCCCGGTAACTATGACGATTAGGTGGAAGGTGTGTAAGATTCCGTCATTTGAGCACTTGTATTGAGTGAGAGCATTGTAGTGAGCCCCAAGTCAGTCGTTTTTCTTTTATACATTTCCTATAAACTATGAAAATAGTCATGGTTTGTACTCAATTCCCCGATTAATAAGCATAGTAATCAATCTGTAAGTTCATTCTCGCGAATTTTAAAAACCTTAATATTAAGTCCAGTATATGAAAAAGTTACAGACTTGTATAACTCTGCTTCTATCTAATAAAACCCTCCTATTTTTTTATAATTAAAAAAAAATATTTTCAGTTAATTACCCAACGTTTTCAAAAAACATTGCAACCACTTAATGCAGTTAGTGACTATATTTTACGGTGGGAGCCGATTAACAGACGATTAGAAAATGTAAGAGACGGATGGAAACGAGTAAAGGTTTTTGTTTTCTTTTTAATTTTTCGTTAAATAATTTTTTGAAAATTTTTAAGAATATTTATTATCAAGACAATCCCCATTCTTTTGAGTGGGAGGTGCTTTCAAAAACTTTTTATACCTGCTTTGTAACGGGTGTGATTATTGGCGGTACTGATACAGTTAAGAAATCTATAGACCGGTTTGAACTTTACAGGGCTGGAAAAGAGTTTGGCACTGTTGGACATTTAATGGTTTATTTTAAAATATTTCTTTTTTGGGAAAAGGTGGGGGAATTGAGAGGCAAAAAAGAAATTTTATTTTAATTTTTTTAAAAGTTTTTGGGAACAGATTGTGAGGGGGAACTTGACAATTTTGATCCTGGCAAACATTACTTCCAAATAAGGCTATTTTAAAATAGGTTCAAAAATGTCGAAAATTTCCAGTTAACAATAAGTAAGTTCAAACTTCTTGGCGATAAATTAAATTGGTAATATTGAACCTGACAGACCCCATTTTTTCCTCTCAAAGTTTCTTTCTATATATTGGCGGAATTATCAGACTTCTTCCTTCTTCCATCCCAATTTTCCTTTCTTCCATCAAGGGGAAATAAAAGTTATTTCCTTTTGATTCTGACCAATCTCTACATAAATATAGGAAAGAACTTGGGAGGGAAAAAGGGGGTCTGGCAGGTTTAGTATTACCATTAAATTGCTTGATCGGAACTTGGTTTCATGGTATTAACATACTTGTTGAGTTAGATTTTTAGGCCGTTCTCTTCCAAAAATATTTATTTTTGGTCATTTCCTCCACACCTTCTCCCATCTCCCAACGATTTTCCCCTAAAATCTTTTAATTTATATTTCAGCAACGCAAAATGGATTTTGTAATGACTCAATTTTATATGAAAGGAGCGATAAAAGGATTTAAATTGGCTGCTTATATGTGTTCTATTGTGTTAGTTTTTTTTTAATTTTACCTTTCTTTCAATCTTTTAATTTAATTCTAGTTTTATAACTGTTGGAATTACTTGTTATCGAGATCGTTATTCAATTTTATATGTTCCAATAACTACAAGTTTTTTTTAAATTAATTTTATTTAAAGATTATTTTAATTTCTAGCTTCCGTTTTTTCATTTTTTGCCTTTATCCGAGGTGTTGGAATTAATGGACTTGCTGTGGCATTTTTTCTTTCTCTTATGCCTTCGTATGAATTTTTTCTTCTAAAATAATTTTTAATTCCTTAATATGGATAGGAAATCCTTTCAGGAAAATACTCTCAATTTAATTTTGATATTTTTTAAATTAGAGGGTTAAAAATTGGTGGTTGTAAAAAACAAAGAAATTTAGCCCATTTGTGTGTTAATTTTAAACTTTTTTAAAAGGAGGAATGGAGAAATCTATCGAAATGAACGACAAAACCCCTATACAAAAAATAAGAATTAATCATCTGTCTGTTCTTCACAATCTTAATTTTTTTACAAAAATACAAGGATAAATTAAAAAAAATTTTTTTGATTCTTTGTATCAATAACTTTCAAATTTGGGATGATAAAATTTTTCTAGAGGAGGAAAGAGAGACTTCCTCTTATAGTAAATTAAGGTTGTGAAGAACAGACAGATTAATTTTTTTAGTGGGTTTTTGTAGTTCCTTTCGGTAAGATTTCTCCATTCCTCATTTTTTATAGAATCCAAAAATAATTCGATAAACTCAAAAAGAGTTTCCTTTCCTTGAAAAAAAAAATAATTTCGCCTCTAAATGGCCATTAAAAAATTTTAATTAATAAAAATTATTTTTATTTCTTTAAACAGTTTTTTGTTAACAACAGCAACAATTGGAGCTAGTTTTTATTATAAATGTTCAATAGACGAAGTATATAAAAAATTGAGACAAAAATATTTAATAGACGCAAAAAAAGAAATTGATGATGATAATGAATTACTTCGATATACTCTATCTAAAGGAAGAAAACCGGGCTTTAAACCTTGGGACCGCTACAAAATGAATTTAGATAAAGATATGAATGAATTTAAAAGAAAAATAACTTTGAATGATGAAGAAGAATTGTTGAAATTTGGAGGAAAAGATGAGGAATAGAAGAAAGAAATAATAATTTTTGTTGAGGGATTTTTGTTGTTTATTTCGAGGTAATTAGTGGGAAACGAACTAGCTGGTATTTTAGTGCTAATTAAAAATTGATTCATAGACTTTAGTTTAAATACAAGAACAATTTTGAAGGGAAATGTAGCTTGTATCCCTACACGTTTTCTTTACATACTTGCGAGATCTCGAAAAAAATCTTGGCTATACAAGATCAATATTTTTCGAGATCTCGACCTCAACCCTCCTAGTCCGGTCTCTACTTGGGATTCTCCTCCACCACCTTTTAGGAATAAATTTCAGAAAACTCGATAAAACCTCGTCACTGATTACAAAAACCCCTACCCAATTTAGGAATAAAAACAAATATTTTTTAGTTATATTTTGTTATATTGTTTTTTACCTTTAAATAAAATTTAAAAAATTTAAAAACAAAATATTTATTTCACTTCAAAAAGAAATATATAGAAAATACAAAAAAAAGACCAAAATTAAAAATGATAATAAAAAGTTTTGGTCATTTAAAAATGGAGAGAGAGGAAGGGAAAATATTGGTTGAGGTCTTCAAAAAATTGTTGTAATAATAATTAAAGAGCAAAAAATTTTTAAAAAATAATTCATATGTTTTTTTAGCTTTATTGGCCGATTTCAAGAGTTTTCTATCTTCAAAATTTAATTTTAAAGTGATGAGGCGGTATATAAATAATGAGATGATAAACGCGAGAAAATGAGACAATCGAGTGAAAAAAGCGAAAAGAAAAACCGAGAAAATTTTTTTAGGAAAATACAAAACGTTGAAAACTTTTTTTAATGAAACCACAAACTCTTGGGTAATTTTAGGTTTATTATAGAAAGTGAACTTGGTAAAATACAGTCAAAATTCTGTGGTACACCGTCCTCAAGGGAAGAGGATTTATATCTCCAAAAATAAATTGGAGACTAGAGTTCGACATTTTCACTTTGCCGGGCCCGGTATCCGGGGTTTTTTCTTCCAATCAGACCCGGGCCGGGTTATCTGGGCTGAAACCCCGAAAACCCGGATTTTATCAAAATTCCCGGTTTCCGGGTCGAGCCCGGGTCCAAAACAAATAATTTTAAATTTAGCTTAGAATCCATGCCTAAACCCCTACCAAGCCATGTAGCACAGAACAAAACTGAAGTTCTGACTGTATAATTGACTAAAAGTTTTTTTTGGCTCAAAAATCTTTACAAAAAAAATAATTTTTTGGCAAATAGAATCAGATTTGAGAACAAAAAAAATTTGTTTGGCATTTAAGAAATTATTTAAAATTATTGGCTCATTTTTCGTATTTGTTCATGTTCAGCTGCCGCTGCCGAACTTAACAACCTTAAAGGATCATAACCATTTGAATGATTATCATTAATTAAATTGACTTCTTTTTTTGGTTGTTTTAATTCTTCTTCTCTTAATTCTTCCTCTATTTTAATATTTTTCTCTTCTTTTTCTTCTAATAAATAATGCTGCTCTTCTTCCCCCATAACATCAACTTCACTTTCAGGAGCAGAAAGTGGACGAGGAGGCCGTTCATCTTCATCTATAATTAATTCCCCATTTTCTTCATAATCTTCCTCCCCCTCCTCTTCCTCCTCATGCATTGGAAAGTCTATAGCAGAAAGTGGACTTGTCGTGCCTAAATAAAGCGTGATTAAAGTAGTTTCGGGAAGTTACTGTTCCGGAACTACCTCCAGAAATTTTAGAAGTACAGTCGAGTACACACAATACTACCCCAATAGATAACCTCAAATTTAGAATACTTTTAAAAATTTTGGTTGGCTATTGGGGAGGAGGGAAGAGAGCTATCTAAGCGGCACCCCTATTTATGAAACGTCTCATTATTAGCCACAAGGGTGTATTCTACAATGAGGTTCGACTTTTCAGAATTTTCCTATAAATTTCAGAATTTCCATAGACTATACCTGTAGAAGAGAAAGGAGCACCACCAAATGAAAGAAGCAAATTTCGATGTCCTTCCCCTCCTTCACCCTCACTCTCCTCTTTTAAAGTAGTTGACGTGCTGTGGATTAACCTAGCAGGGGTACTCGCACAACTTTCCATCATTTCATGCTTTATTTGTTGTGACAACATTGTCGTGTTGTCAATTTGATCATCCCCCTCACCTTCCTTTCCTTGACAGAACAAATAATTTCCGGATTGATGACCACCCAAAGATGTGTTGAAATGACTTGTACTAGCAACACTTCGAAGACCGGCAGTTGTAGACCGCACATTGGAGGAAGAATGCTTTGGAGCGCTACGCGAGGAAGAGCTTCGTTGTGGCCGTCGTTTATAGAACTCGCTGTCATCAACAGTCCAAACAGCTCCTTTAACATTCTGTTCAACACGAGTAAAACCTTTAAAAGAAAATTTTTTTTATTAATCAAAAACTTTATCTTTTTCTCACATTTATGAAGAGACAAATTATGCCTAACAGCATTTTTCCAAGTAGCAGCATTCCTTCGAAAGTAAACAAAAGCTTCTTGGAACCATTGATAAATTTCATTCAGTGTCAGCTGACAATCTTTTGATTCCATTATTGCTTGCCTTAATAATAGATTTTTTATATTTTGGAGTTAAAAATATTAATCCTTCAATATCTTCCCGATATCCGACTACAACGAATTAATTCAAAATTGGCAATTTAACACCCCTTTCCTCATCTGACCCTTTTATAGTATTTCCATTTCTGACCATTTTACAACTCATTTCTTACCCTCAGGCAATCTTTTCTTTTACTTATACTTTCCAGGACTCAGCTCAAAAAGATATAGCATACACAAAACCCACCTAATCAACGATGCATAAGTATAAGGCGGCCTAACATCATGAGTTCTATAAAATTCCCTATTTTTTGCCATATCGCTAGCTAAAGGCAAAGAACGTTCTGTTGTTATTCTCCTTCTACTAGCACCACTACCCGAACTATTTATTGAAGGAATATTTGTTGTTGTTGTTGAAGTTGTAATTGTGGACGATGTATTTTTATCAAAAGAAGCACTTGGAGTTGGGGAAGAATAATCTGTTGAGGAAAGTATTGACGAACAACGAGCAGCCATTGAAGCAATAACATTTTCGTTTTTATTAAGAGATTCTGAGGTTGATGGTAAACAAGTTGTTTGGTTTTGTTGTTGTAAATTAATTGGGGTTGAGGAAATTGGTGTTGATGTTGATGGTGGTAACTAAACGAGGAAAATTATTATGTTGTTTCGGAAATGTCGCTAGGCTTAGGGTTGACGGATTCTGGGAAACCTAGGATATCTAGGGCTCCTTTCAAATTCGAATATCAGGACTGCCAACCTTAACCACTGAAAAAGAGAATAGCTTTTGAATGTTTCTAGCGCAAGATATAAAACGATATCAGGTAATTAAACAATGTTTCACTCACTTTACCGGAATGTTTCTTTTAAATCTGTATGCAATATTTTGTAAACTTTCCTCTATCCGGAAAAACAAACATTTAAAAGAAAACATTCGTTTTCTAGTCCATAAAAAGTTCAAATTCCGTATCAGAGTTATATTTTCGGAAAAGTTTTTTAACTTACAGAATAAGTAGCAGAATTTCCTTCAGATTTTTGTTGAGAAATTGGAGGTGAAAATGCTTGTTCCAAAAAAGGTATATTGGCAACTGATGCAATTATAGGTGCTACTTCTGAAGGTTTGTTACAAGATGTTAGTGATGGGAGAGAACCAGAATTGGTGAATTTAAAGTCGAAAAAATTGAAAAATTAAGATAAAATATTGGACGTATATTTAAGACTTTCCCCTTTATCAAAACTCATCGAGACCTTACAGATAAAACAATATTAAAATTGAATTTACTGCATATATACATATTAGTGACAAGAATGGGAATAACGTATGAGATCTCGAAAAATATCGATAGCGATAATCGAAGTTTTCATTCGAGAGTTTGTCTCAGTCTCTGGTATAACTAATACCTCTGTGATGTCTAAACTTGACTTAAAGATAAATTATAATTTTAGAATCGGCATAATTTAATTAGTTTTCGATATGTGTCAGTCCAAATCATATTTTAAAGCCGAAAATTAAATCAGCCAAAGGATCTAATACAGAAACCAGAAAAATTGGGAATACAAATTAAAGTTAAAATTAGCCAAAAAAAAACTTTTATTCGAAGTTCCCTTCCCTATTCGAAGAATAATTTTTTTAATCAAAAAATTTTTTTAAACCGACCCACAGTTTGATGAATTTGTTGTGTATTATTAACAGAATTATTATTTGCTGCTGCAGCATTTAAAAGTGCTGAAAAGGGTGTTGATGAAGGATTTGTTGATGTAAAAAAATTATTATTAGATTGGGGTGTTTGTGAAGGTAAAGGAGGTTGTTGTTGTTGTTCTTCTTTAATTGAGGATGCTAAAAGTACTGCTAAGGCTGTTGCTGCCGATTGTTGAGGAATTGATGTAGAAGATGAGGAGGAGGAAGAGGGTAATTTATGGGAAAATTGTTGAGGTGATGAAGAAAGTTTTTGAGAATCTTCTAATGAATTAAGTAGATTCTGAAGGAAAGAAAATAAATTGTTATGAGTAGGGTCGAGGATTTAGGATATCCAAAAGATTCCCTAGAACTGTCACACCCAGATAGATTAAAAACATAATTAAACACATCTTCTAGAGAGAAAATGTAGAAAATAATTACCCTTAATAATTATTCAAGTATCCAATAATAGGAAGGATCATACCTTAAAAATTTGAATTCAAAGGGATATACAAAAAATAAATCCTTGTGCAATAATCAACTTAGCATCTTTCAGAAAAAGATTAAACTTTCTGTGACAATGATTGATACATTTCGGCTTAATCCAAGTTCGGGAGATATATGGATCGAACAAAACCAGGAGATATAAATAGGTGACAGGTAATATAATTCCAAACGGATTTAGAATATAAAGTGGAGATGTTTGAGCTTTTGGAAGGAGAAGGCTAACCCCGTTATAAATTGAATTTAAAAAAGGTCCTCTCATTCAAACAAAAAATTCCAAAAATATTCCCTTTAAAAATACAACAGTCCTTCCTCACCTCCTTTAATTGCAATCCTTCTGTTGATGGCAAATGCTGAAGTAATTGTTGTTGATTAAGATGTTCTTCATAAATTTTTTGTTGAGTAATTGAATTTAAAATATTTTGTTGTTGTTGTTGTTGTTGTTGATATTCTTGTTCTAAATTATTTTCTCTTTTATTTATTGGAGTACTTGTTGTTGTTGCTGTAGAAGAAGAAAGAGAAGAAAGAGAAGAACAAGTTTGTTGTTGTTGTTGTGTTTCCTGTACTTGTTGAAAATGTGTAATCATTGCTTGAAGACGAGAACGTTCACTTGTTAATTTCCTTTCTAAATTGTCTACAAGCTCGATTTGGGCACGACATTGACGAACAGAATTTTCGTCTTGAACGTGAGATTGAGTTAAGTGGATGAGGAAAGCTTCGAGTGAATCGAATTTCTGAAAAGGAAATTTTTTAATAAGTTTGTTTAAAATATGTTAGGAGATAGAACTGAATTTTGAAATGTTAATCTACTGATTTTGGTCAACTAAAGGATCCTTGAGGTTTTGAATAAAAAGCTCGGGATTATTGTGGTCAGGATAAAGAGGAAATATCAATGATCTTGCCATTAATCAAAAAATATTAAGATTGAAAAAATGAATGTGAGTTTCTTGTACTTGTTGAAAATGACGTAAGGAGCAGGCTAATGTACCGCAGAGCTTCGTTCAAAGTAGTCAAATCCGAAAACGCCTTGATATGGTTAAATGAATCGAAACATGCCAAGCGCACCGGATTCGCCCATTTGAACAGAGTTATAGCTCTGCTTACATTGGCCTCACGGTAAATTGGGATATACCCTTCGACATGTTTTGTCTCCTAAATAACTTAATCGAAAAGAAAAAAATTAATTTCCAAGTTCATAAAAGATTTGAGATTATAAAAATACCCAAAAAATTCTCAAAAAATCAAAGCACCTGATTGCATTGAGACCACAAACAAATTCCTTGTTGATATAATGGATGGCTAGGAGATAGTGGAAGAGAAGCAGCACTTGCAGCAGCTTGTAACAAAATACTTTCTAAAGGAAGTGAAGAAATTGGAGCTGTAGTTGTTTGTTGTTGTTGTTGTGCAATTAAAGCAGCAGTTAAAGTATCCAACGAATTTGGACTAATATTTGCTACAGCATTTAAAATTGAATGGGCATCGTTGGGTAATTGACATAAAGCTGTTGTTAATTGCTGCCAAATAGAGAGGGAAGAAGAAGGGCTTAGAGAGGGAGGAGGTAATTGTTGGGGGTGTTGAGTTGGTGTAGTTGTTGTAGTTGATGGTTGTTGGAATATTGTTGAAGATGAAAATGACTGGGCTAGACGCTCCTGTACTGCAAGTAGAAGTAATTGCTGCTCCAGCTAGAAAATAAAAAAAATTAAATTAAAAAAGAAATCGAATTAACCAAAAAAATTGATCAGAATAACACAAAAATATTGAAGTATAAAAAATGAAAATAAATAAACAATGTTAATATGTACGTGAAAAGAATAAAGGAAGTGTAAAAATAAAAGTTTAATATTTAGGTTGAACCTTAAAATATTGAAGTATAAATATTGAAGTATAGTTAAAGTATTCATTGGATACTTTAACTGCACAAAAATATTGAAGTATAAAAAATGAAAATAAATAAACAATGTTAATATGTACGTGAAAAGAATAAAGGAAGTGTAAAAATAAAAGTTTAATATTTAGGTTGAACCTTAAAAACGTTTTTAAACTCCTCAAAATTTTTAAGCAACTACAGAGTTGATAGTTGAGATAACAAAGATAACAACAGCTTGTATGACTATCAAAAAGTAAAAGCTCTTGGATGGGACTGATCCTGCAAAATTGTTCGAATCAAGCTAACGAGTGGCAGGTTTTAAATCCGTATTACTAGGCCTTCCTTACAATAAGTAGATTCAGGATTGAGACTTGGAATAAATGAGAGAATAATACACTAAAAGCGACCTTTTTAGAAAGACCTAGGGAGAATTTACAACCATTCAAAACCTTCTAAACACCCTCCCCCCCTCTTACACTAGAATTTGTTGTTGCTGTTGAAAAAGGTGGAGAAGTAGTGGAAGGAGAAGTAAATTGTTGTGGTTGTTGTTGATTATTATTATTTTGGCACTGTTGTTGAGACGACATTTTTCTAATTTCTAAATTTTTCTGCAGATACAAGACCATTTACTAATTATAAATATAAAATACTAGCCAAAGACTAACAAACAAAATGCATACAAAAAAATAATTATTTTTGTATAACACTGAAAAATTAAATAAATATAAAAATTGTTGAGAGCGCCAAAACAAAATTTATGCAGTGCAAAAACGCAATTTTAAGTTTTGGCGTTTGAGTGTGAGGAAAAATTATTTTGGCGCACATATAAAAATTTACACTAGGGTAAAATTTGGCTGTTTTAGCTTTGACAAATGTAGAACTATGAAAATTCTTAACAGATACTTTTTTGGATTATCCAAAACTTTGTAAAGTTTCAAAATTTTTATTCAAGGATTCCGAAAATTCTGGTCAAAAAATGACAAACCTTGAAATGCTAAAAAAAAAGCCATAATTGTTTGAAATATTTTCAAATCACTTTTGGAATTTCAAATCAAAAATTTTTAAATTTATCAAGCATTTAGAGATAACCTAAGAGAGATAGAGAGGATTCTTTACAGAATTTTACAGCTTTGGATAAATTATAAATGGACGCATATCTGTCGTCATTAAAACCTACAAAATGAGTCAAAAAAACATCAAAAATGGAAAAGAAATTCAAAAAATTCGTTTTGAAATTAAAAGAGAAATTTGTTTTTGAATATTATGCCATAATTGAAAAGTGATTTGGAAATATAAAAAGAAAAACAAAAAATAAAGGATTACTTTTTTAGATCCAAATAAAAAAATTTTTTCGCGTCATTTAAGGAAATACTTGTCACATGCTTTTTAATCAAAATAACCCCCTCAAAAATATTTTTATTTTTTTTTAAAAGCAATTCCTCACTTATTTTCCCTCTCATTTATTTTCTAATTATTTAAAAAATATATTTTTTTATTTACACATTTTTGTGAAACATGCCAGACTTTTAAAAGGGGGACAGTCTTTTAAATTTAATCCACAGTATGGCATAATTTGTGTTAAAAGCGGTGATGCACGTTCAAAAATAAAAATAATAACAAATAAAAAAAAGTGGTTGATAATCTTCAGACATTTACAGTAATAAATGAATTAAAAAATTAAAAAAAAGATTTTTTTAAAGGATTTGGGCGGTAAAGGATTTGGAGAAGGAAAAATACATTAGATTTGGAGGTTTAAATTTTGAACGTTTTTGAGGATAAAAAAAGATTATTTGCAAAAAAATTAATTAATTATTAGGGAGAGGAGAAAAAAAGTTTTAGGCTCAGGGCAAAATGAAGAAAGAGACCCTTAAGGAAACTTAAGTAGGACCAATGCCGAAGAACTAATTAAAAAAGTTCAGTATTTAGGTTGGGTTTCGAACGGGTTTTTTTCAAAAAAAGAATTATGGCACAAGACTTCAAACAAAGCCTAAGGACAGGATAAATAGACAAGAATCACATTGAGGAACTTTAGGAAACCTAAGTAGGACCAGAGCCTAAAAACTATTCTAAAAAATTACCAGCACCCCAGTTTGGTTCCGAAATACAAATTATGACACGAGACTTCAAACAAAGCCTAGGACTGGATAAATAGACAGGAATCTTCTGATATCCAAGGCTGAAGAACTAAATCAAAAAATTTTTTCGGTAAACCGGCCTCGAACAGACAATTCTAATCCTCGGACTAGTGTTTGAAAATTTAAAATTTGCTTGTACTCGCGTAGGCTTTTTTCCCTAGTACTCGCATAAAGGTAAGGGTAGAGGAATTTAGGTACCAGCTCCAAACATTGTCGAGAACCGGACAAAAGAAATCACCCGGAAGAAAAAAATTTTTGGAATTTATTTCCTCTTTCCACCCCTTAAAAATGTTCTCAATCAACATAGAGGTATTTAAAAATACACTTTAATCAACAACACACCAGACACAAATAAATACAGTAATTAAGTCTAAATTGATTGATATGTTTTTGTTATTTATTTAAAAAAAACAAAAATAATTGGGGGAGAAAATCAAGAAAAACAAAAAAAATAACATTTTTAAAGTGAAAAATAAAAAAAATAAAAGAGAAAGGTGAAGAAAAGGGGTTAAAAAAGGGAACACAAAACCGAGACTATTTATATTTTTATTTTTCTACTCGCCAATTGCCAGCCTTCGCCCAAGCCTTCCCCCCCCTTTCCTTTCCTTCGGACAGAAGCAAAAAAGAATGTAAACAATACAGTAAACAAGGGCGGTCATGACGGGATTGGTCCCATAAAGAATTTAAAAAATCAATTGATTTCAACACATTCCCCCCTTATTTTTGTCCTTGTTTGTTAAATTGTTGACACAAAAAAAATTGGAGAAAAAAGAAAGTTTTTTGCCTTAAAGGATAAACAAACTAGAGAAAACTTTTAAATAAACAAAAGAAAAAATGTTTTTAAATAAACAAAGTTTTAATAATTTTAAATAAAACTTGGAAAGAGAAACAAATAAAACTTGGAGAGAGTGAGAGAAAAGAAGAGAAAAAGAAAAAAAGAGAAAATAAGCATTTTTAAGACAATAAAAATTAAAGTTTAAATACAAACATTATTTTCTGAACATATTAAATAACCGTGATTATCAAACGATATAAGGAAGAAATTTAGAAAAATTTATTTATGAATAAAATTTAGCCTCTTGAGGATGGAAATCAGTAAGGGAATCGAAAAAATCGAAAACAATGATGGGAATTTGTGCTTGGAAATCCAATTTAAGAACTAAGAAATAGTGTTCGGCACGAGACGATATATCGACGATATTTTTCGAGATATCGCGAGATTTTTTTCGAGATTATCGATCTCGATCTCGTCTCGATCAATTTTTGAAAAAATCGAGATTTTTCGATATCGAGATTTTTCGAGATTATCGATCTCGATCTCGTCTCGGTCAAGTCAGAAATATCGCGAGATTTTTCGATATTTCGATATTTTTAAAAAAGATTTTTCGTGATCAGTATTTATAAATTTTGGCGTTTTGTTAATTATTATTTGTTTCAAGTGAAAGAGTTTTTTCAATTGCAAGAGACGTTTTCGATTATCGTCGCTCACTTTTGAGTCCAGAAAAAGCTGAAATGTTGATATTCCTTAACCAAACCCTTCCATTGATTCATTACAAATATTAAATTCACATTTAGATCATAATTATATTGATTGAAATAAATTTTTATTCAATTCTAAGGGATTATAAAAAATCTCGAAATCTCGCGATAATCTCGAAAATTTTGGACCGAGATTTTTCGAGATCGAGATTTTTCGAGATTATCGATCTCGATCTCGTCTCGATCAATTTTTGAAAAAATCGAGATTTTTTCGAGATCGAGATTTTTCGATAATCTCGATCTCGATCTCGAAAAATCGCAAATGCCGAACACTACTAAGAAATAAAAGAATCGAACAATACAACTACTGAATCCCAATCTTCAAAATTAATTTAAAAATCTTAAAATTCGGACAATCTAGTAATTTTGTTCATGATCGAACCTTTCCTGACTTCTTTCCTGTTCAAACCTAATGGATGCGTAGTAGTTTTCCTGTACCCAAAGTCCAGGCCCAGGCATTTTTTGACCTTCCTAGGTTTTTCCTGGGCCTGGGTTTTTCCTGGACTAAGGGCCCATGATCTGGTCCAGGTCAACAAAACCCAGTCCAGAGTCCAAGGCCCAAACTTTTCAAAAATACCGATCTCTAATGTGCAGTCAAAATATAAACTTTTAGATTTCCCCCAAAAAATATGAAAAATAAAAAGAAATAAAATTGAAAAATAAAGAGAACATTTAAATATTTATTTATTTTTCATTAACAGAGGAGAAAAGGCGTTCCTTTCTTTTAAAAATTAATTTTTTTTTTACTTTTAAAAAAACATTTTTTTATTTCCTCCCCTTTCTATTAAACAATAAACAACAAAATAAATAAATAAAAATAATAATTCGTAAGCACGCTACTATTAATTATTTAAAAAATACAAACATCTGTTGATGTACTTACGCGCGTTGTCAATGAGCAAAGATTACGTTTTTAGAATTTTACATAAACTTTTATAAAATAAATGTGTTATTAAGTGGGTATTTCGGCGCGGAGTTTTTATGGCGCGCGCTTATAAATTAGTGCCTCGACAAATCCCTAAATTTTCAAAATTTTTATCAGAATAACCCTCATAGTGTTATCTAACCCCTCTATAAATTTCAGAATTTCTGGTTTTTGAAAACAAAAGTTATGGCCAAAAGTACAACAAAAATCGACAAAATCTTCATAAATTGAATAATTTCTTGACATAACTTAAATAATATCAAACAGAAAAATCCAAAATTTTTAAATAGACTAGTTACCACCTTAAAGGACAGCTTTACAAAATTTCAACCCTCCTAGTTCCCTTCCAAAAATTTTTACAAAAGTTTGCGCCGTATAGTCCCCGCGCCGTAACATCCCTCCCAATTTTATGACGAACAAAACAGACACACAAATATTTTATATTTGTTTACATGCCATTTAGAAAGATTTGTGTATAAATAAGGATTTATATTTATTATTGCGCACTTTGAAAGCAAATCCTTTATACATTTCTTGGGAATATTAAAAAATAAAAAAATTATTTGTGACTCAGAGAGGAGAAAATATTTGAAAATAAAAAATTAAAAAAAACAGCAGCCGCTTCAAGTACATATGGACTTTATACTTGGTGGAAAAATAAAAAGCCCTTAAGTTAAAAAAACAAAATTTAAGAAAAATAAAATTTTTAATATTTTGCAATTTTTTAAAAAAACAAGGAAAGGGGGAAGAGGCTTTTGAATTTTTAGTAGAGATCGGACCGATACGATTTTTTATCGATAATTATCGATATTTTTCGATATTTTTTTTCGATATTTATCGAAAAAATATCGACCGACCTCTTCGTCCGATCTCTAATTTTTAGTAGGGGGGAGGGGGGGGAGAGGGGAAGGAGTCTTTGAATTTTTTAATAATTTTTCAAAAGGGGAAAAACTCAAAAACAAAATCTCCCTACTCTTTTAGACATCCCAAACTTTAACTTGTCCAGTTATCCCGTTACTCCAACATATCTCAAAAACTTGTAGATATCTTTGGCGGTTCAGAAGGTTAAGATTTAAAAAAATAAAAAAATATTTGAGTATGTAAAAGTTTGTAAAATTAAAACTCGAATATTGTTTATTTGTAATTTCAGAATTTTTGGTTGTTAATTTGAAAAAATTTTTGGAAAAAATCGATATTCTTAACAACCTTGGATTTAATAAATAAACGACTTTAGGTAGCCAAAACTGACCAAAAAATCTTTAAAAAACAAACAAAATTAAATTTGAAAACAAAATCAAATAATGGAGCTTCTACAAGCCTTTCATTAAAAAAAGAGGGGCTGCTTATTCGACTTTTATTAGAGAGGGGGTTGTTTATTAGAGAGGCCTATTAAAGGGACGTTTAATTAGAGAGGGTGCCTTACTATTAGAAAAAATAAATTTAAAAAACACCTGAGGACCAAGCCCGAGCAATTGGGCAGCCAAAGCGGGTTCAACACCTCCACCACCCAACATTGCTGCTAAAGCGTCAATCGTTGTTGTTGTATTAATTGATGTTGTTGTAGAAGAATTAATTTGTTGTTGTTGTTCAGATGTTGTTAAAGAATTTGTTTGTTGTTCATTATTTCCCCGTTGTTGTTGAGCCATTTTTAAAGGAAAAGCAATAATAGGAACATTCCTTTTTGATTTGAGCATTGACAAAGTGGTAAAAGCCAGCTAGAAATTAATTAAGTTTTTTTAGAAATTTTACGGAAAGGACAATTCACCGAAAGTTTTGAAATTAACCAGAAAATTTAGAGGAAAGGGGAAAAAGCTGAGAGTTTTGAATAGTGTCTTGAACTGAAGGTAAGAAAACTTGAACCGCAAGACAAAAAACTTTAGTCGCCTATGGATTCTATTCAGAAATTCAGACGGGATCCAGTTAGATTTTAAATGAAAAGCTGGGGCCTATTCCACCAAACGACATTGACATTAAATGGGCGTGTCCGGACAAAATATCGAATCGTTAAAATATGGAATAGGCTAAAAAAGGGTTAAAATCTCGAATCGGGTAAAAATGGGTTAAAATCGCGAATAGGCTAAAAAGGGGTTAAAATATGGAATCGTTAAAATATGGAATGGTTAAAATCTCGAATAGGGTAAAAAGGGGTCAAAATGTGGAATCGTTAAAATATCGAATTGATAAAATGTCGACACGGCCAAAATAGGTCAAAATGTCGAATTTTTTTAAAAATGGCGCCAAAACCTAGAATCCGGGCGTTGCCGTAATACCGACGTTATTTTTAGGTATTCCGTTTCGCTAGTACGGTGCGGAATGCCGACCGATAAAATTTAAAAGCTGATCGGTATTTTTCGGTATTCTGTACCGTATACGGTACAGTTAAAAAATTCCGGGTTTTATTAGAAGCTAGGCACTCCACTCTAATTTGACGTATCAAGATCGCGTTATGTTTTCCGGATCCGCACGATCATTCCGGACCGGATCAGGTCGATTATGCTTGATTTATCCGGTCCGGTTTTACTCGGTAAAATACAGTGAACTCAGGCCGAAAAGATTGCGACGGACTACGACATACGAAACTTATCAATCAAATTATCAACAATAGGTTGATAAGCTGATAAAATTATCAATAATCAACGTACGGCACTCATCTGACCCTTTTTAAAAGAATTCGACATTTTGACCTCTTTTTAGCCTATTCGAGATTTTAAACATTCCATATTTTTACGATTCCATATTTTAACCCTTTTTTACCCGATTCGATATTTTAACCATTCCATATTTTAACGATTCGGTATTTTAACCCCTTTTTAGCCTATTCGCGATTTTAACGATTCCATATTTTAACGATTCCATATTTTGTACCGGAGCCTAAATGGGAGCAGGCCACTTTACCGCAGCCCAATATACCGCCGCCCACTTTACCGCGCCCACTTTACCGCCGCCCACATTACCGCGAGCCCACTTTACCGCGAGCCCACTTTACCGCCGCCCACTTTACCGCGCGCCCATTATACCGCCGCAAAATTTTTTACTATTTTGGCTGGGAAGTTGACCCGTCAACGGGGAAGTTGGTCCGTCAACGGGGGAAGTTGACCCGTCAACGGGGAAGTTGTTCCGTCAACGGTGGAAGTTGACCCGTCAACAGGAAAGGTGTTCCAATGACGGGGGAAGTTGACCCGTCAACGGGAAAGGTGTTCCAATGACGGGGGAAGTTGACCCGTCAAGCGGGAAGTTGTTTCGTCAACGGGGTAAGTTGGATCGTCAACTGGAGATGGGCGTCCCACATTTTTGGAACAACTATCCCCGCCAAAATAAAAATTTTTGCGGCGGTATAATGGGCGCGCGGTAAAGTGGGCGGCGGAAAAGTGGGCTCGCGGTAAAGTGGGCTCGCGGTAATGTGGGCGGCGGTAAAGTGGGCGCGGTAAAGTGGGCTGCGGTAAAGTGGGCGGCGGTAAAGTGGGGTGTACCCACATTAAATGTCGAAGTCACAAAATAATTTTAAAGTCGCTTTGTGGAGCAGAATCGCGATCGGAATGTCAGGCGATTGACAAATGTCGCGACATTTGATGTCAATGTCTCTAGTCGCCTAAAGGGCTTCGTGGAATAGATTATTCCTGAAAACCCTGCAATTCTGTAAATATGTACCAAAAATTGTAAAAAAATCCAAAAGTTTGGGATAAAATCCCATAAATCTATCACGCCCTACCATTATCTCTACAACTCTCTCCATTCATTTTAATCAATTCCTCTAAATCCGCAAAGAAAAATATTTTTCGGTGAATTTATTGTATGGTGAATTGACCCCTATATTAAAAAAACTTTCAAAAACTTGCCTAAAAAAGACAAATAATTGTAGCCTAATTTGACTATTAATGTTTGTTGAGATCGTCTTTTCGTTGTTTTTATTTTTAAATTTAATTTTTAAATCTACTAAATTCCAAACATTTTTTTAAAATTAAAAAGGAGGGGTAAAAATTAATTTTTGTTTGTGAAAAAAATAAAAAGCTTTTTCAATTAAAAAATTAGAGGAGGGAATCCTGAACGGTTAATATGCTTTTTAATATTAAATTTTAAAAGATTATTTTTAATTTTTGTTAAAAAAATATGTAGGAGGAGAAAAGATTATTAAAAATAAAAAACAAATTAAAGTTTAATTGTGAAATTTCGTTCCAAAAGACATTAAACTGCAACAGGAAGTGGGGTAAATTTATATAATCAAAAAAGATTTTAAAGGACATTAAAGCCAATTAAACAACATATTGTAAAGCTCAAAGATATTTATTTCCTAGAGCTGTGCAGTAGGCGGCGTGGTGTAATGGATAATAGCTTGTCCAAGACCGAAAATTTCCAAGACTCAATACTCGAGACCAAGATCAAGACTACAACCCAAGATCAAGACCGAGAAAAACCCAAGAAAAGTCTTGACGCAAGACCGAGAGTCTTGGATAGCTCCGCTGGATAACAACATCGGTTCAGTCTATTGAAGATGCTGATTCGCTCCCAGCCGCCGAATAAACATTTTGCACTAGCTGAAGCTCTGCTTTACTATTTAATAAAAGTTTAGTTCTTATCATGGTTCTTCAATGCCTGAACCCGTTGTTGAGATGAATGCAAGTTCCGGCGTCCCGTAGGAGGATAGAAGAAAAAACGAGAAAGAGAGTCAAGTAAGAAATTTAAAAAATAAATAAAAATTCCTCAAAATAAAAATCCAAAAATAATTTTATTTAGAAAAAGACTTTTAAATAGAGCAAAAAATCGAATAAATAGAAAATCTAAAAAGAAAGTTTTTGGGTACAAAACATTCAATACTAGAGAACTATCGAACAATATTTTTAAATAAAAATTTGTTATTATTATTAAAAATATTTTTGTGTGTTTACTAGTTATACTTTAGGATGACAAATAAATAAAAATAAAAATTTTTAGAAAAAGAACGCATGTATTGAGAGCGAGATATAAAATAAATAAATAAATATATATGATGTATATTTATTTTGTTGTTGAGCGAGCGCTTTTTGAGAGAAAATTGAGGGGGAATGATTGTGTATATTTTTATTTGTTTTGTTTATTTTTGTTGAGTAGGGAAAGGCTTCTTTCTCCTCTTTTTTTCTTTTTTTTCTGCTCTTATTTGTAGACCACCCTATGACTAAAAAACCTAGAAGGGAGATGTGGGGGGGAGATGTGGGACGTTGGCCAAATGACAAACAAAAAAACATTTTTATTTTTCATTCTTTACCTTGTCTTTTGACTGTTTTGTTTAGGTAAAATGTCAAACAACAAAAAAATTAAAAGGAGAAAGAAGGGCCCCCCCTCCAACAAACCACAAAAAGTATTTTTCCCCTTTTCCTTTCCGACAGAAAGGACTACTATAAAAGAACTTGTGAACGCCAGTGGTTGTTTACTAGCTAGAAAAGTGAGAAAGAATTAATTTGACTGGGGAAAAGTATAAAATTCGAACAGCGTAAAAAATGTGACAATAAATAAAAATATTTGTGTTTATTTATTTGAAGAGAAAATTGGTTAAACAACTGAAGCAAAGCTGAAGCAGGGCTGAAGCAGGGCAAAGGGCGAAAGAATTTTGAGAAGAGAAAAAAAGAAAAGAGGAAAGGCTGTCAATTAATGACGAAAAGTGTGTGGGGAGAAAATAAATAAAATAAAAATGTAAACATTCCCTCGGCCCCTTACAATTCTTTTTCTCGATTAACTCGCTCATATATAAACAAACAACACAAATACACACACATTTCCGTCTCTCATTTTGTGAAGAGAGAAAAAGAGAAAAGAGGGAAATAGTGTTTGTGTGTTTACCTAATTACCTATTCTCGGGTACAACCCAAATAGGCGCGCGGCCAAGTAGGCGCAAAGCCATAAATTGCTTCAAGATTTCCGAATATTACCAAATTTGGTATTAAACGTTTCCTCTCATCAAGCTAAAGAGATTGGTACCAAAACTGGTGAAGTCTAGAAATTTTCCAGCTAGTTATGGCTTTGCGCCTACCTGGCCGCGCGCCTACTTGGGCGTGCCCCCCCCCCCTATTCTCTCTTCTCTTTTATTTACTTTTATTTTACCCCCTCCAAACAAAACACTGGACAAACAACAATAAAGAATAGAGGTCTCGTAAGCGACATTAAAAAGAGGGCATCCTTTATCGAATAAAAATACACACGCCACAGCAGCCCCTTTTGAAAAAAAATTTTTTTCTTTTTTTTCCCCAACTTATTCATCCGCACACAAAAAGGGAGAGAGAAGTGTTTATGGGCAATCCCGGAGAATTGGGGTTTCTTCGAATTAAAAAGTTTAAAAATAAGAAAAAGGGTTTTTCTACGGTAAAAAATATGCTGATTACGAATCTGAGCTCGGATTTTGAAAAAGTCAAATCCCGGACCCGAATTCGGAATTTGACCCCGGACATTGTCGGACATAGTATAAAATGGTCAGTCTTTCATATGGAGGTAGAACTCATCGAGATGCATCGAATGACACCAAAATCGATGAAATCCGACGTGGTTGGACCGAGATACAGACCCCGGAATATTGAAAAACCATAGGGGTGTGTTTTTGGAGCAAAAAAAAGTTTACGCAAATAATAGCTCGTTCGAAAGAGCTCGTCAAACTGAGTCGAATGACACCGAAATTAACGTAATCGGACGAGTTTTGACGAAGTTATGACATAAGTCGCCGACTCCTACAGTACTCCCATAGGTCTACTTTATGTCACAACTTTGTCGAAACAAGTCCAATCACGTTGATTTTGGTGTCATTCGATGCAGCTCGACGAGCTCTTTCGAACGAGCTATCATTTGCATATTCGAAATCCGGGTTCAGGGTTCGAAATTTGGTTCGGGTCCGGGATTCGACTTTTTCAAAATCCGAGCTCAGATTCGTAATCAGCATATTTTTTTACCCTAGAAAAACCCTTTTTCTTATTTTTAAACTTTTTTTTCGAAGAAACCCCAATTCTCCGGGATTGCCTGTTTATGTTTATTTGAAAAATGATGTTTGTTTGTGTGGAGAGAGAGAAGGGACAAACAAATAAACAAACAAAAACGCTCGCTCCAAAAATTTTTTCTTGGGGGTCTTTTTCTTTTCTATCCCTTCCAATGCCAATAAAAATCGAGAAAGACAACAAAACAAAATTCTGTCGTGGAAAATAAATAAATAAAAAATTCCCCTCCCTTCTCTCAATCATCAATATTTATTTTTTTAAACCAAAAATTCTTTCAATAAACAAACCAAAAAGGTCTAAAAATGAAAAAAAATTGGCCAAAAATTAAATACCCAAAAGACCAACTTTTAAAAGATCAAGTTTTATATTTTTAATTTTTTTATTTTTAAATTCTTGCCAAATTATTTTTGAGGTTTTTCAAATAAAAAAGGTTAATCTCGCATTTTGGATTGTTTATTATTTTTTTTTATTATCGAAAACAAAAAATTTGCATAAAAATAAAATTAAAAACAAAAACAATTAACTTTAAAAATAAATGCAATAAATATTTTTTATCAGTTTTCGAAGCCTTCCTCATCATTTTTTAAGTTTGGAATTGTAAAATAAAGTCATTTCCGGTACAGTATAGACGAGACTGGACTGGGAGGTTCTTCAGAGAAATGAGAATCGACATCTCAAAAAATATTGGTTATCGAAAACCAAAATTGTTGTTCCTCGCCTCAGACCGGTCTGGTAAGGAGACAGGACTTACAGACCCGATTATTCTTAATTGAAGACCCAGAAGGGATTATGTCAGTATTTGTACTGGTTATAATTTAAAGTAGAGTAGCACCCCGAGCCTTTGGGGGCGGGATCGTCGGGGATAGGGGTTTGCCGGGGTAGAGCCTTCGGGGTTCGGATCGGAGTTTCGGGGGGCGGGATGCTACCCTAATTTAAAAGTTTAAAATGAAAGGCAAGTGTTCATGTACAAAATATTAAAGAATTAAATAATAAATAAATTATCTAAAGATTATTCCATTACTTTTTTAATTCCCGTTTATTTAAAAAATAGAAAAAGCTAGTTAATTATCCTCCACTCAATTTCCGTTGAAAAAATTCACTAGCAATATCAGCAACATTGTGTAAATGTTTTATAGTTAATTTGAAACCGGTAAAATAATCGTCTACCTTAAATAAAAGTTAAATTAAAAAATTAATTAGAAAAATTACCATATAAGGCAAATTGTTTTTAGCACAGAATTCCTTGACTAACGGCATTACCTAAAAATAAAAAAATTAACAGTGAACATTCAAATATTTAAAATTTATCCAGATTTTGTCCAAGAACCCTGAGGCTGTAGGTTTTGACTAAAGACCGGACTGGAAGGAGAAGAAGAACAGAGAGAAGACCCGAAAAGACCGAAAACTAGAGAAGACCTGAAAAGACAGGACTGGAATGGTCGTACGAGAATCAAGATTTCTCGAAAAATATCAATTATCGATAACTGAAATTTTTGTTTGAGATCCGATCTCAACAAATTTTTTGTTCTCCGACTGTATCAAAAAAATCACAAAAAACATTTCCGAGAATGTCCGGGGCAGTCTACAAATAACAACAAATTCTCAATTTAAAATCTTTCACCTTTTTGAGATTATGTCTAGGCATTGTAGGGAATAAATGATGCTCGATTTGATAATTCAATCCGCCCCAAAGCCAATCAATTACCAAACCCGGTCTCATATTTCGAGTTGTGTAAAGTTGAAGACAAGCATAATTACTTAGAATTGGGTCGTTATCTAGAAAAATTTTTTTCCTTTTTTATTTGAAAAAATTTTTTTACGTGGAAATTTGTCAGTAGAATAATGGTTGTAAGTAACTACATGTGATAGTAAAAATCCAGCAAAAAGTTGTGAAATTAAAAAATATTCAAGACGAACCTTTAAATTGAAAAGAGAGAAGTAATCTAATTATAAAAGGAATTAAAAAATTAATTTTAAAACGATTATTAGAACTTTTGGGAGTTCTCGAAAGATTTTTTTAGGAATCTATAGGAGTACAAAAATGCTGATTTTATCTTTCCTTGAAGATTCTAATTTCTAATGATTCTAATGTAAATTGGTTGACAATGAAAAGCTCTGAACTTAACAAAGGGGAGCTTTGTAAGGGGAGCTCGCCGTAATACCAAAGCCATAAAAGCTTCAGAAAAATATTGTAGCCTTTTTAGTATTACGGCATCATATCTAAAATATACATTAAATTCAGTTTTCCATTCTATTCAAGGGATCATCCATAAAATAAACAACCTTACGAATATTTTCTGTTAATTTTTCTTGTGTTTTTGTGCCAAAATTTTATTTCTTTTTAATTTAAAAATTACCTGATAATTAGGTAAAAAATAATATTGAGTCAATACCAACGTCCAATGAGCAATAACTGTTAATTGTTCTATTAAAGCTCTTTCTCTATAAATCTTTAAAAAAATTTTTTTGAAACTTAAAAAATTCCCAACATTATAAAAACTTGATTGCATACTAAAAACAAATTGTAAAGTTTGTAAAAGCCAAGAAAGACGAAGCAAAGGAAGTGCAAAAGCCCAATATAAGTGTTGAAAAGGAATTAATCGAGCACATAAAGAATTGCCTTCTAATCTCTTAAAATGAGAGAAAATGAGTAAAAATAAAATTTAATTTTTTTTTGTAAAAACGAGGTAAAGGTTTCAATTAATTTTCTAAAAAAATTTCTGCTTATACTGCTATAGAGTGCCTAGTTGTCGAGCAGAGGTGGATCGGAACAGTCAGAGGTGTCGGAAATCGGAAAAGCCGGAAATCGGAACTGGCTCAAGAGTCGGAAGTCGGAAATAAAATTTTTTTCGGAACTCAGAAGGAAAAAACGTCGGAAATCGGAATTCCGACCCATCTTTGTTGTCGAGTAATGGTTTAAAAAATTTTAGCTACTGGGAAGGCACAACGCTAATAGTGCTCGTTTGATTTCGGTTATAGCTATGCGAGTGCTCTACAGACTGACATGAGTAACTTTTTTTTCTCCTTATAGAACAGTTTAATACTGTTAGGTACCGCGTTTTCGATAAATTTTAAAATTAAAAATATTAAAAAACCATCAAATGTGTTCCAACAGTAGCCCATAAAGGAAGTAAATCCAAATCTCCATCTCTACCGTCTATATTTGTAGCAGCATGGTGTACATTATGTTGATTCTTCCACCCTGCTAGAGAAAAGCCTTGAAGGAAATTTCCACAAACATAACCACAACAATCATTCCACCAATGATTCTTTAAAATAAGAAATTTGAAAAAATAGAAATAAGGTAAAAATAAACCTTAAAATGTTGTTGATGACCATACTAGAAAATTAAAAAAAATTAATCAAAAAAATTGTTTTTTTATTAATTATCAATATTTGTGACTTAAGGCGACTCTAAAGAATCAAAAAATATTTTGAAATTATCCAAACGGTCAATAAAAGGGTGTGCGGACATATCGGGATTGGAGTGACAAAAATAGTTTCATAAAAACTCTATTTCAATAGGAAAATATACTATCCAAGACCCAGTGGCCGGCCGTAGGTCCCGAAATCAGTAGGGCAACTGTTCGTACATTGAAATATCCCGATATGTCCGCGTGCCCAGTAAAAGCCATTAAAGGATTTTCGGAGAGGCGTCAAAATCGAACAAAATTACCAAAAATTAGCCTATCCATGTTCTAAAATCCCAAAATAAAAATCCAAAAAAACCTCATGTATCATCCACCCCAATTGTTGCCATGCCAAACCCATAAAAAGTGCAGATAATACAAAATGTTCTTTAGATTGTAGAAAAAGTGAAAAAGAAATGAGACCAATTGCTTCAATAAATTTTCTGGCAAAATAGCTATTATCTGCTTTAAATAACCCCTTTTCTCTAACTTGAATTTTTAATCTTGAAAATGACTGGCAAACCTATTTAAAAAATTAATTAAATTTAAAAATTTAATTTGAAAAAAACCTTTTCGCTCTCCTCTGAATTTAATTCAAATTTTCCCATATTAACGTTCAAAAGACGCTTTTTAATTTCTTTTTCGTGGAGATCAGTCTGTAAAAAATTTCTAATACTTTTCCGTTATACGACCGAAAACTGAGTGCCAGCCGATTTTAATCGGCCTTACCCTTTTAATGCTGAAGTATTAACAAATGAACTTTATATCATTCAAAAGCCCTCAATAACCTGTATATTTTTTCTAATAGGATAGATCAGATCTGATCAGGCATTAAAAAGTTACAACCCGTTAAGTCTAGTTATTTGATGAATCTCACATTTATCGAGTTAAAACTTTTTAATGGCGATCAGATCGTTCAAGTTGGATAAAAGATACCTCTTATCGAGATCTTTCGAATAATACAATTCATTTGTATAGAATCAAGTGTCAGAAAATTATACCGATCAAATTCGGTCGGCACTCATTTTGCAATCGTATAACGGAAAAGTACCAAATTCTTGATAAAAAATTTATTTTTCAAATAACCTTTTCCTCATTTTCATCCTTTTGTTCTCCGTTTGTCAAATTGTGTACAATGCCATTCTCCTCTAAAGAATCTACACTTGTTTGTTTAGCCCGTAATTCTCTCAACCAGCTATATGCAAGTTTTGAATCGGCGTGAAAAGCATGAAAACTAAAAAATTTTTGAAAAAATTTGTTTAAAATTTAATTTTCTGTACACAGCAGTTGCATCCAAATTTCGATAAGCAAGCATTGCCCCTCCCCCAGGATGTGCTCTTAAAAGTTGTTCATCAACAAGAATCCATTTTCCATCAATACAAAGTCGAAAAGGAACAGAACTGGCCGGGTTTTCATGGAAATAGTCTGTGAGGACCATCAAAAGAAAGAAATTTTAATTTAAAAAGGTTGTTAGTTTAATGGCTAGATTAAAGAAAATTTGACAAATTTTAATTAAATTTTACCTAAAAATTTAAAAAAAATAAAAAGTTAACATAAAATTATCGTTTAATAAAAATTGATAAGAAACGCGCGATTTACAAAATTCTTCTTCAATCTTAAAAAAAGTCGTACCATATTTAAATAAATATATTCTAAAAGATAACACTAGCATAAAAAGAAATGATCGATTAAAAGTTTGGGAACATTTTTTGATAGCAAAGGTTATCTTAAGAAAATGAAAAAAATGTGCAAAAAACTGTTCTAACATTATACAACATAAATAAATATTTTAATGAAAAAAGGCAAATTTATTTATAAAAATTTAATGAAGGAAATTGATAAAATAATTTTCAGAAATATGTAAGAAATTCAAATACAAAATTCACGCGATGCTTTGGCGTTTATTTTTTTGGCGTTCTGTTATTTAATTTCCACAGTATTTAAGCCGAGTTTTTGAGATTATCGAAAATTTCCTAGGGCTTGAATGAAAATTTTTTTTAATTTCGCCTCAAACTTTATTATAATTTTTTTATTTTTATTTTGTGTACTCCACATACTTCCATTTATTCTTTTAATTTTTTCCCTTCCATATTCCACTGACTTAAAGGTTCCTTGTTTAAAAACCATTTGTAATTTTTGGGACTGCTAAATATTTTTTGAGACCAAAGAACGTTGTGGTAAGTAGTCCCTCACTTTTGAAATCGATGTTTATACACGTAACATATTGTGACTTGCCTTGAGAGAAGGCGAAAATATGACAGAGACTTTGTTTATTCGGGCGAATGTGTCCTATAGGAAATAGGTAAACATTAAACTAACAAGTGAAGACTTGGTTAAGGCCAAAATATTAAAGGTTTACTCAATACTTTTCTCGTTTCAACTCACATTTTGTGATTTAAATCGTTTATTTTTTAGATAAAAAATATTAAAATTGTTTAATATAATTTCTAAAATGAAGCCAAAGGTTGGAATTAATGGATTTGGACGTATTGGACGTCTTGCCCTGCGTGCAGCGGTTGAGAAGGATACTGTCCAAGTTGTTGCTGTCAATGACCCGTTCATTGATCTTGACTATATGGTTTGGGGGAGACTTTGTATTAAAAACTCCAGTAACTTTTAGGTTTATATGTTCAACTATGATTCAACCCATGGACGTTTTAAGGGAAAGATTCAGGCCAGCAATGGAAATTTGGTAGTTGAGAAGGAGGGAAAGTCTACTCATACTATCAAAGTTTTCAACTTGTGAGTTTTAATTGGACTTGTTTAAATTCAATCTCGTAAATTTAGCAAAGAACCTGAAAAGATTGACTGGGCAGGTTCTGGAGCTGAGTTTGTCATTGAGTCGACTGGAGTCTTTACGACTACCGAGAAAGCTTCTGCTCACTTGAAGGGCGGAGCCAAGAAGGTGGTTATCTCAGCTCCATCTGCTGATGCTCCAATGTTTGTCGTTGGTGTTAATGAGGACAAATATGATCCTTCCAAGCATCATATCATTAGGTTTTCTTGTTTCATTAATCTGTTTAACTTTCTTTTTTGAAGTAATGCTTCCTGCACTACTAATTGTCTTGCTCCGCTTGCAAAGGTTATCAATGACGAGTTTGGCATTATTGAAGGTTTAATGACTACTGTCCACGCTGTTACTGCTACACAGAAGACTGTTGATGGTTTATATATTTATTAAGTGTTTTAAACTCCAAGTTATTTTTTAGGCCCTAGCGGCAAGCAGTGGCGTGATGGTCGTGGCGCAGGCCAGAATATTATTCCGGCAAGGACTGGGGCTGCAAAGGCTGTTGGAAAGGTATTCACTTTTAATTTTGATTGAATAATGTTCTTTTGCTAAAGGTCATTCCTGAATTGGATGGCAAGCTTACCGGAATGGCTTTTCGTGTGCCGACGCCAAACGTTTCTGTTGTTGATTTGACTGCTCGTTTGGAGAAGCCAGCAACTAAGGAGGCTATTAAGAATGCAATCAAGTTTGCTTCGGAAGGGAAACTTAAAGGGATTCTTGGATATACTGAGGACCAGGTTTTTCATTTTTTCAATACAATTGTATTTGAATTTTGTTAATTTCAGGTTGTTTCTACCGACTTTCTTGGAGACACTCATTCGTCTATTTTCGACGCCGAGGCGTAAGTTTTGTCAATTCCCAAGCTTATATTTGACCTTTTTGTTTTCCAGTCTTATGGTTCTCAACCCGCACTTCGTTAAATTGGTTAGCTGGTATGACAACGAGTTTGGGTATTCCTGCCGTATTGTTGACTTGATTAGCCATATTGCTTCCAAGTCTGGTTAGATGAATAAAGACGAAAAGAATATTTTAGACGACATTCTCTAAAAAGTATATTTTAAATGTAGTTTTAATAATGAAATTTTATTCATAAATTTGTTTGGCAAATATAAATTTTTTATTTGATAAAGTTTGCCTATAAGTTTGGGGTTTTTTGTTTGAAAAGTCTGGAATTCTTTCCAATTGTTATTTCAATTTGGTTTTGATACTTTTAGTGTTCTGTCGTTTTTTCAAAATGTTTTTATTTATTTTTTCTTTGGACAATTTCTAGTCTGTTGATAAATTGCAATTTAATAGAATGACTTCATCTGACGAGAGTTCAGATATTTTAACTTTTATGCCACTGTACGTATGTTTTAATTGACATTTTTATTTACATTATTTTTAGAGGTTCTGGCCAAGAAGTTGGGCGTTCTTGCCATTACATGCAATTCAAAGGCAAAAGGATAATGGTTAGTGATATTTTAATTTGAGGTTGTTCTATATGTAACTGGTCCACTAGTAGTCTGTGTGTTGTCATGTTTCCGTCCGCCATACCTTATCCTGGGAACTACCTCAATTTAATACTTTTGCTTTATATCTTTAAATTTTTAGTTCGACTGTGGCATCCATCCGGTAATTTTTATTGACTTCAAAAATTGTTTAGCAAAAATATTAGGGAATGCATGGTGTTGATGCTCTTCCTTTTGTTGATTTTATTGACGTAGAAGAACTCGATTTACTTTTAATTACCCATTTCCATTTGGATCATTGTGGAGCTTTGCCTTGGCTTTTAGAAAAGACTGCCTTTCGTGGTCGTTGTTTTATGACTCATGCTACAAAAGCAATTTATAGAATGATGATTGGTGATTTTGTTAAGGTTTATATTTTAAATTTTATTGAAATAAAATTTTTTAAGGTTACAAAATATGGAGGTGGTGGAACTGGAGAAACAAGGATGCTTTACACAGAAGAGGATTTGGAGAGAAGTATGGACAAAATTGAGGTTTCAAATTTTTGTTGAAAGACTAAAAATTTTTTCTTAAGATGATTGATTTTCACGAACAAAAAGAAGTTAATGGAATTAAATTTTGGTGCTATGTTGCTGGACATGTTTTAGGTGCTTGTATGTTTATGTTAGAAATTGCTGGTGTACGTGTTCTGTATACTGGTGATTTTTCGAGATTAGAGGATAGACATTTGTGTTCAGCAGAGGTGCCAAATGTATCACCTGATGTGCTAATCTCTGTAATATTTTTATAATTTAAAATATTTTAGTAAATAAAAGTCCTCTAAATTTTACAAACAAAAATTCTGATAATAGGCAAAAATGAAATGAAAATTTATTTTTTGATTGAAATTTCCGGCTTTTCACTCCTTTTAGTCCCTGCCCTATTAAAAAATAATTCATAAAAAATTAAAAGGAATCCACTTATGGAACACAAATTCACGAAAGTCGTGATGAACGAGAAAGGCGATTTACTTCAACTGTGCATGAAATTGTAGCAAGAGGTGGTCGTTGTTTAATTCCAGCTTTTGCTTTAGGACGAGCACAGGAATTGCTTTTAATTTTAGATGAATATTGGGAACAACATCCAGAACTGCATGATATTCCTGTTTATTGTAAGCATAACGACTCTTGTAAAATTAAAAAAAATTTTTTAGATGCCAGTTCTTTAGCAAAAAAATGTATGGCAGTTTATCAAACGTTTGTTAGTGGAATGAATCAACGGATACAGAGACAAATTTCTATCAACAACCCTTTTGTGTTTAAACATGTTTCTAATTTGAAGGTTTAAATTTTTTAGTTTTTGTCTTTAAAATTAGATATATTTAGGGTATTGATCATTTTGATGATGTTGGTCCTTGTGTTGTTTTGGCTAGCCCAGGATTTTTACAAAATGGATTGAGTAGGGAACTCTTCGAAAGTTGGTGTACAGATTCTAAAGTAACGAGGAATTTTTGGATATTTAATTTTTATTTTTAGAATGGTTGTATAATTGCTGGTTATTGTGTGGAAGGAACACTTGCTAAGGTATTTTATAAAAATATTTTTACTTTTTTTAAAATATTTTTTAAGCATATTCTCTCAGAGCCAGAAGAAATTGTCGCTTTAAATGGTCAACGATTACCTATGAGATTACAAGTTGCTTATATCAGCTTTTCTGCTCATACAGACTATATTCAAACATCAGAATTTATTCGAGCTTTGCGTCCACCTAATCTAATTTTGGTGCATGGAGAAATGAATGAAATGAATAGATTAAAAGCAGCAATACAGAGACAATATGAAGATGATACTGATTTTCAAATTGAGGTTGGAAGTTTTTTAATTAAAAATTTTATTCGTTGCTCCCATCCAATTTTACGATAAACAAAATTTTTCGAAAATTTATTTTTAGGTTTACAATCCACGAAATACTGAATCAGTAAATCTTTTCTTCCGAGGCCAAAAAACAGCAAAAGTTGTTGGATCTTTAGCAATGAATATACCAAATGATGGAAGTATAATGAGTGGAATTCTTGTTCGTCGTAATTTTAATTATCATCTTTTACATCCAAATGATTTAAATGGTTAGTTAGGAATATTGTTTTATTTATTGTTGTTTGAAGAGCTAAAATATTTAGTTGACTTTCTTTTATTTGAAATTATTTTTTGAGGCCATACTTTAACTGATTTTTAGTAGTTTTCCTTTTCTAATAAAATTTTATTCTTTAGCATATACCGAATTATCCAATTCTCGACTTAGTCAACGTGAAAGTGTTTTTTATGATGGAAGTTTTTCTGTTTTAATTTATAATCTTCGACAACTATCTTCTGATACTATAGTTGAAGAAATAATTAAAAAAGAAAATGACGATGAAGGTTGTGAAAAGAAAAGTTTAAAACAAGAAAAGAAAGGAGGAAGCAATTCACAACAACAACAACCTTCACATTTAGTGAAAATGTTTAAGGTTTTTTTAATTTTGATTTTTATAAAAAAATTTTTTTTCTGATAGGGAGAAATTCTCATTTCCTTTTATTCACCCCAACATCTCGTTATTATTGAATGGATGTCAAATCCAGTAAATGATATGTTTGCAGATGCTGTTCTTTCTGCTGTTTTACATGCACAGACTAATCCTATACTTGAAAAACGTAAAAATTAATTTGCAAATTTTTTTTAATTTTCAAAAAAAAATTTCAGATTTACCAAAATGTGAAGAACAAGATCAACAAGCACAACAAAAAAATGTTGAAAAAGTTCTTTTGGGTGCATTACACGAACTTTGTGGGCCTAAAAGTAAAGTGGAATTAACAACAATATTATCACAACAAAAAGAAACGGCTGAAGGAACTTCAAATGAAACACAACAAAATAATTTAAATTCAATAATAGAATTACAAGTAGACGGAAAATCAGCACAAATAGACCCAAAAACATTACAAATAGCTAATTGTTCAGATCAATTACTTCATCACCTTTTAACTTCTATAACACAAAAAATGGCACATACAGTTTTACCTATTTAAATAGAAAAAATTTTTGTTGACTTTTCAATTAATTTGTAAAAATTGTTTTTTGTTGTTTAAATAAATTATTTATTTTTTAATTTGATCTAAATTAAAGTTTTATTTACTTTTTATTTAATGAAGTAAATTTATTTTTAAATTTTTTTTAATGTTTTAGTTAAAGAATTATCTCCATACTAAGAATTTTCAAATTTTGGACTGACTCAAGGCTCTGATCTCACAATTTTTTACAATATTGATACAATTCGATAGAGAATTAAATTTGCTACTTTGTAGAAGGTCAGGTTTTGTTTATTTTATTTTTGAGTCAGATTTATGTCCCTCGTAGAAAAATTAGAATAATTCTTGGGTTGGGTTAAGAGCATTTTCTCTTTTTGAACGGAGCGGGTATTGCCGATAAAGTTGTAGGGTATATTTTTTACCCGCTGTATAAATAAATTAAATTGTCTTTCAACATTAATTTTGTTAAATTTAAGGTATGGCCTTACAAAACGATTTTCGGAATAATTACATCCCTCACCTTGACCGCCACTCTTCTTCATGTACATGGGATCAATTCTGCGAGCGGCTTTATCAGGCGTTGTGGCGAAAGGGTGGAGGCTACTATGCAAGTTCGGATGTGCTCCACGAATTATAGTTTGGATTTTTTGATAAAATTAAAATAAATTAACTATTTTTTAGTGCATCTTCAAAAATCTGTGGAATTGTCGTGGCATCACAACAAGGATTTGCTTCTTTTGAGGATCTTCTACATTCGCCCGTGCTGGACCATGGTAAAGATTATTAAGAATTCTGGATTTTTACTTTTCCTGCTTTTCAAGTGGTTACAATTGAGAAGGTGCCGCCTACAGAAACTCACAATTTTACTACGTAAAATTAAATTATTATATTTAATTGAAAATATTTTTTATAGGTATCGTTACTTGCCGGCACTCAATAATAATTTTCAAAATGTCAGACGTCATACTCGACAAAAGAAATCAGAGTTAATATTTTTTATTTTTATTTGCAAATGTGTCAAAAATTAAAGTAAATTTTTTTCTTCTCGAAATTAGAAATCATTTTTCGTTTTTTGGGTTTTATGTTCCTAAGGGTCTAGGAGGGTTAATCCACTTACCGTTCATTCGGGAGTATTTTTTTCAATTTCAGTATTTGTATTACTGATTCCTCGGAGGAGCAAGAAGGAACAATCAATTGTAAGACAGAAGATTTGGAAGAATTCTTTAAAGAAGAGAATAGCTCATCCAACAGCAGTCAAAACGGGACCAACAAACTATTCGAAAACGAAGATTCTGAATTAAAGGGAGAGGAAAAGAATGTCAATAAGATGCGAAAGAATTCTGAAAAGTTGAAAGGGAAGAATTACTGAACTCTAAAGAGAGAATTACTGAACTCTTTTGTTATCAATCCCTCATTTATTCTTTCAAAAAATTAAATTATGATTTTCTGATCATAAGGGAATTTTTTTGGTGTTTCCCTTTTCTTTGCTCCTTAATTTTTGTATCCCTTCAAATAAATCAAAAAAATAAAAAGTCGGGGAGCATGGAATTGGAAACATCAAGTTTATAAATTCTCTGAAAAATGTTTATTCAACTTTTATTTTTGAATTGTTGTCAATCCTTTGTTATAAAGTCACAAAATTTAAATTTATCCTTTTATTGTGCCTTAACATACAATGCATTTTCAATACATTTGTCGAAAGAAAACAAAAATAGAAATATAGGAGAAAGAGAAATTTGAGAAAAAAGATTGCTTCAATAAAATGAGGCATGAAAAAATTTTAAAGACTGGCATTGAAAAATACTTCAAGCATTCTTCGAGCATGATTAAGAAAGGAAAAAGAAAATTGGGTAAAAAAACAACAAACAAGAAGGGTAGAAAATTATAGGTTTTTTTCTGTTGGTCAAGTAGGCACCCGTCGTCTTACCATGCCGCCAAGGATTGTTTGCTTTAACCGATTGCCCAAACCACCACTTGCATGGGATTTATCTAAAGAAATTTTGAAAAATCTTTAAAAATTAAATCAAGTGTTCCCACCTTCATCTAAATCATAACTGCTGTCTGCAACATTTTGTTGTTGATTCATTGCCTGGGATCGCCACCTTTCACTACTTAAACTGTTGCTTTTTGTTAATATTTCTTCTTTTACTCCAAGACCATTACGAACAGTAGGAAGTTGTTCATGGGCAGACTTAAATTTAAAAATTTTTTTTCCACCAATTAATATTAAAAAAAATATACTCGATTTAATGAAAGAGTAGAAACAGCAGAAATACCATTTTGTTGTTTATTATCACCTCCAACACTATTCCCCAATTTCTTAATAAGTTGGCCAATCCTTTTTCCAGCAGTTTTGGGTACATTACTAATTCCATTATTATTTGGAGGTTGTGGGGGTAATTCAATTTCACGACTAGACATTGAAGAACAATCAATTATATCTTCATTCCGAAAATGATGATAATTAGAAGGATGAGGAGGTGGTGGTGAGCCCTAAAATAAAAGAATAAATTTAATTAAATTCTGATTCTTAAATTAAAATTCTGTTTTTAAAAAATAAAAGTTGTGATTAAATTCTGATTTAAATAATAAAATGTTCATTTCTTATTCTGGTTTAATAAGTCACAATTCTGATTTTTATTACTTGATGTTGTTGATGCACATTATCATAAAATCCATTGCTAGTATTAAATTGTTGTTGTTCTGGTTCATCATTGTTGTTAATGTTGTGTTGTTGTTGTTGTCTATTCCCAACAACATACCTTCTATCACCACAAACACCAACTCCAGCTTTTGTTCCTTTTACAAATTGGGGAGATTGTCTTTGTTTATAAATTGTTGTTGTCTGTTGTTGTTTTAAATGTTTGGAAGAATGTGGGGGAGGTGTTGGGGGTGTTTCTTTTATTTGAAACTTTGTTGATGTTGTTTTAAGTGATGGACCTCTTTCTACATGTTTTTGTTGTTGTTGAATTGTTTGGCTAGTATTACGACGAGAAGACCAATTTGTTGTAGAATCTCCATTTGTTGTAAAACTCAAAGGATTGGCTGAAATTGAGAGTAAAAGTTTTTGTTAAAAAGTTTTTGTTTAAAAAGTTTTTGTTTAAATTCTGATTTTATAAAACGATGTTTAGAATTAATTCTGATTTTATATTATTAAGTTTAGATTAAATTCTGATTTTTTAATTTAATTAAACTTACATGTTTTGGTTTTATTTGTCTGTTTATCAAACATTTTAGCCATAGCATCCACTTTTGATGGATTTATTCTTTCCTGATTAATTGTTTCAAATGCTGGACGATTTGTTAAATTACGAGCATTAGAAGAAGCATTTTGATTATTAACTTCTGTTTGAATTGTTGGGAAAGAACGACGTTTATCATTTGAAGTCTAAAAAAATTAAGAAACAATTAAAAACAAATCTAAACATGTGTTTTTATTAGAAAACATGTTTAAATTAAATTCTGGTTTTGTTAAAAAAGATGTTCTGACTAATTCTGGTTTCGTTAGAAACAATGTTCGATTGAATTCTGGTTTTATCAAAAAAGATGTTTAGATCAAATTCTGATTTAATAAAATGTTTGGATAAAATTCTGGTTTAGTAAAATGTTCTGATTAATTCTGGTTTCGTCAGAAACAATGTCAGATTAAATTCTGGCTTCGTTAGAAAAAATGTTCAGATTAAATTCTGATTTAATTAAAAAGTTCTGATTAAATTCTGGTTTTATCAAAAAAGATGTTTAAATAAAATTCTGGTTTTATTTATAAACAATGTTCATTACATTTAAATTAGTATCCAATTCCAATTCAGCAACAAGTGCATCAATTGCCAAAGAATGATCAGTTGGAATTTGTTGTTTTTCTTTGGTAGAAATAAATCTTTTTGGTTGTTTTTGTTGATTATAATCAGAAATATTTGGTGTTTTGTTTAAATGTTGAGAATATGTTTGTTGGTAATTGTTGTTGTTATTTAAATAAACATTGTTATTATTAGATACTTCCCCAGGCAAATAAATTAAATTATTATTATTTGGTGCAGTACAAAGAGCGGAATCTGGCAATGATTGAATAGAACCTTTTAAATATTGCTGTGAATTTATATAATTTAATTGTTGTTGTTTCTGTTGTTGTTTACTAATTTGTTTTTGTTGCATTTGGGCAATGTTTGGGGTATATGAATGAAAGGCACCACCTCCAAAACCTATTCTTTGTAATGAATGTGTGGAAAGACAACTGGCAGCACCAGGTTGGAAATTAAAGAAACCTTCATGTGAATGAATTGAGCTAGCCATACTAGTTGGGGGACAGTCCTTTTAAAATAAACAATGTTTTTTTAAATTCTGATTTTATTAAAGAAAGTTTTAATTTAATTCTGATTTTATTAAACATGTTCAGATTAATTTCTGATTTCATTAAAAATGTTGGAATTAAATTCTGATTTTGATAAACATAGTTTCAATTTAATTCTGATTTTACCAAACATGTTTAGATTAATTTCTGATTTAATTACTTGAGAAGCAGCCCGAAGAAAACGAATTTGTTCGATAGAAGGCGTTTTGTGCATTTGACCGCTGAAAATAAATATTTTTTATTAATCAAAATTAATTTCTTTTACCTAACACCCAAAGAAGCAGGTAATATTCCAAGTTGCGGTCTAAAAGGTTGGGGACGTACTGCAGCAGGTACAACAGCAACAGATATTTGAGGGGGCGGGACATTATTTGTTGTTGTTGTTGAGGTTGCTGACGAACATTGTTGTTGTTGTGTTGGGGGTTGTTTTTGTCTAATTGGAAGTATTTGTTGTTGTTTGTTTAATTGTTGTTGTTTTTGTTGTTGTTGATTTTTAATTAAAATTAATTGTTGTTGTTTTTCTTTTTGTTTTAATCTCCTTTCATTAGGGGCATTAATTGCGGCAACCTCTGCTGAACAACTTCCCAGCGAGTGTTCGTCCCAATCTTTTACGTCTTGGATGGTACCTCCTTTTGCGCTGTATGGCTAACAAAAATGAGAAAAAAGGAAGTTTTTAAGCGAGAATTATTTTCTTCCAACCTTTGGAACAGAATTTTCGCCTCCACCACCACTTTCTGCCCATCCGCTCATATCAGAACCTCCACTAGTTAACCAATTTCTTGTAAAATCTAATCGATCCGAAGTATTTTTACTTGGCAATACAATTGTTTCGGCAACTGAAATTTCCTCTTCCTTCAAATTATTTTTGTTACTTCCATTCTCTGCAACAATTGATTGTGGGGGAATAACAGTAGGAATTCTGAAAAATGAGGTATTTTAATATTAATGTTTTTATGTTTAAATAAAATTCTGAATTTAATAAATAAAATTAATGGTTTTATGTTTGGATGAAATTCTGATTTTAATAAAATTAATGAATGTTCAAATCAAATTCTGATTTAAATAATTATTATGTTTAAATGAAATTCTGATTTGAATGTTTTCATGTTCAAATTAAATTCTGATTTTAATAGTTATTAATAATGTTTTCATGTTTAAATCAAATTCTAATTTTGACCAGAACTAAAAATTAGATTTATTCCTAAAATTCTCCTCACTTTGCATTCATTTCAGAAGGAAATTGTTGTTGTTGCGTTGAACGTTGAACAACCATTAATGGGTATGATTGTTGTCTTTTTAAAACAACAGTAGGTTGTTGTTGAGTTTGTTGTTGTTTTTGTTGTTGTTGTTGTTGAGATGTTTGGTGTTTCCTATTAGAATAAATATTAAATGTTTGTTTTAAAATTATATATATATAGCTTTACGGGGAAGGGAAGCAAATGAATTTTAAAAATAAAATGAAGAAAAATTTTTTTCAAAAAATTGAGGAGTTTTTGGATTAAATTTATTTTAAATTTAAAAATAAAATCTAAATTAAATTTAGAAAAAAAAGGAAATCCAATTAAGGATAAAAAAATTTCAAATTAAAAAAAGGGACTTAATTCGTTTTATCTCATATTTTCCTTAATAAAACAGCCAAAATAATTCCAAAAATTTTAAAATTTTTCATAGATATTCTCAAAAGTATTACTTAACTTCTCTAAAAATTTTAAAATTTTTGGTCCATTATAAAAAAAATTATGACCAAAAAAAGCTTTAAAACCCATAGATTTTTCGCATTTTTTGACCAAAACTTAAGGAATTCTCAACCAAAAATTCTGAAATTTTTGAAGCAAGTTAAGGAACATTTTGGATTTTATAAATAAAAAATTTAAGCGCTGTGCAATCCAAAAGTATCTCAATTCCATTAAAAGACCCTCAAACTACTCTTTTCTTTTTTAAATAAATTTTTGACAAAAAATTTTATTTTAAAATGATCTTTTACCCTTCTTTAATATTTTTTTTGTTTATCTAAAAATTAG